GCACTGGAGCAAGGGGCTTAGACCAGTAATGTTTATCCTCATTCCCCTCATTGTGAAAGAGATCGTATCTGAGGATTAAATGACATGAAATAGTGTAGAGATGCCTGACATAAGTAAATGCAGTACTCATTTTATGCCATCTTAAACAGGTAGATAAAAACACAGAATCTATTAGCAATTTTTCATATTTTCCCCTATGCAATTTTCCACAATTCAGTTTCTATCCTCAAACTGACCAGATGAGGTAGTCAGAGTTCTGTCTTTGAAAGGTTTGATTGGAATTCAGATACTTGAGATTAAATCATATTAAAGAAAATCTTCCCCATCTGCAAGCCAGCTGGCGGGTATAAGGGCAGTCTGCCTTTTCTAAGCTGAGTGGCCTGTAGAGATTTACCCAAGGGCCTGGCTTCATGGAGACTTACCCAGCATGCCTGATTGAGCCTGGCCTGGCTGGGAAGATTACAAAGTTGAAATCACTTGAAATTCCTCTTGTTCACCCAAAGATACAGAAATAAAAGAAGCAAACTCATGATCTTGCTGAAGTGAAATCTTTATTGTGAGCCATTCCTGCATCTTTTATTTTCTATTTGCCCAAAATTAATCCACCCAAGTACTATAAGAATCACATGCACATAGATTTTCTTATCTCATGCCCAACACACATTACATCAAAAGAACAAATTATACTTTTTGTCTGTATTTATCTGTAGACCTTTGAGCTCGATAGTTGCTTTTAAGCAAATAGAGGAAATTTTTGTCACATTCATCTTTTGAATGTACCATCATTCTTGGATCTGAGGCTTTAAGTCTAGGTGGAGTGAGACAAGAGGTCAAACCATTCTTTTAAATGTCCTGGCCTAAACAATGTTGGTGACACACATGTATGCACATATGCATCCATGCACACAATAAATTAATTGAAGTTATATCCAAATTCTATTTTCTTTCTCCTTTTCCTCGTCATCAACCCCTTTCTCAACCTGATGAAAGTTTCTTCCTCCACCTCACCCTATTCTCAGCTATTTCACAAGGTGAGGATTTACAAAAACCATTCTAAACATTTCAAATATGTCTCCCTGAAATATTTACTTGTCCTCTCATGGTTTAATCAGCAGTTACCACGATGAGTCACACATTGGGCTTTAATCCACAGCGGCCTGAAATAACAGCCATACCAGGGCTATGACTTTACACTTTCCATTTTTATTAAAACTCTCATTTCCCTCAAACTTGATTATCTTAAAGCTAATTTTATTCTATGCTTGGCCTTCAATTTTGTACTAATTGGCAAATCTTTTCCAAATGGCTCTCAGGAGAAGGTTATCAACTCTCACACATGCAATTCTCTGTCAGGAAAATAGTATCTTTCCCCATGAAGAAAACATTTCTGGAGACAGTGGGATGGAAGGAATCTTCTTTACAAAATAAGCGTTAGGGGCAAAAAACTAAATTTGTGCATTTTAATCATATACACACATATAGGATATGGCTATATGTACATATTTATATATTTATATATACATATGATATATATTATATATACATATATATATAAATATTATTTCCCCAGAGATCCTATCCATATGCAGATCTGAGGAAAAGAGTTGAAATCTAAAGATCAAATATCTCTTTTGGATTATGGATGGTTAAAAATATATAGACTCTGAGTGTCACCATTTTCCCTTTGTTATAGGATAGGCACCTATAGCCCTGGTCTAATGTCAACCCTTCATTCAGTCTGCTTCATCCACTTCAGGTGCATTGATGAAATGTCTAACATGCAGATCCATGCATGCTCATGTCTTTATTATTATAGCTAAGTGCTCATTTCCCCCTTCTTTCATCTTTTTTTCTGAGGTGTCTCCCCACACGTCTTCGGAGGATCCTGGGAATTTCTTGAAGAAATGATACAAAGCACAGTGCTGGAGGTGCACTCAACTGACCTGCCACTTACACATCTTCCTATTTCACCTTTTCTGGACTCTCTGCCACTTCAAATGTGCCTCTTACGCATAAACATTCCTTCACGTGCAACTAAGCAGAGCTTATGCTATGCTCCATGGATCCCTGAAACCTCTGTAGGCATCTGCACTGCAACATCCAAATATAGAAGCAAAATCCTTTCAGATTTAGCAAGTTTGTAATGTTATTTATTTCCTATTAAGAAATTTTATAGTCATCTTTCTCCATTAAACAAAGAGCCCAAAATACTATATAAACTTAAGAACTTCATGTCAATAAGCAGCATCTTATTAACCAAAAATACTGCTCACAAGCAGAAGAAACAATTTAAATAGAAAAAGCTTGAATTAAATAAACCTCTATGTACTCACTGGTGGACTATCGATCTACACCAAAATCACAAATGAAATAAAACCAAACAATAATCCCCAAAGGGGTAGCTGGTTCTCTATGGATATTATTGCCTCACATTCTTCTTTTTACTGTTTCTGTTATGATTTCTATTGATTTGGTACTCATTCAACAACTGAGACACAACTAACCCCTCCCTCCTCCAGGAAGAAGTGATTTCTGGTCCTCATTGAGCTCCTTCTTCTTTAAAAAAACAAAACAAAACATTTTTTAATGATTTTTACAGAGAGGGAGAGGGATAGAGTTAGAAACATCGATGAGAAACATCAGCTGCCTCCTCACATCCCACACTGCAACTAAGGCACATGCTCTTGACCAGAATCGAACCCAGGACCCTGCAGTCTGCAGGCTAACACTCTACCCACTAAGCCAAACTGGTAAGGGCGAGCTCCTTCCATCAATTCCATAACATTGAAACCCATGCCTTACTCCTCCAACCTAGTATTGATCTCTTATATGCATACAACTTTGTTTCCATACTAGACAACAGGGCCTTACTTCCCTTGTATTGCCTTAATTTCTACCAGAGTTTTCACATATTGACTTCATGCACCCATGTGGGAAAGGTCACAAGGTAAGTCACCCACTCCACCTCATGCAATCTATGTGAGCTAGCTCTCTCTGACTCATGGCTCATTTAAAAATACAAGAAAACCTCAAAGAGGTAAATGAAATGTATTTGGACCCCGAATCCAAGGTCTTGTGTCTTAAATGATTGGGGTTATGAAATGATACACCTACCTGAGAACTTTTGGATTCACATTTTTACTAGTTCATAGGCCCAACTGCCAGTGAACTTTTCCATTAATGCCCTCGTTTACTGATTGGCACTTGTCCTGCTCTTTCTCTCAAGGACATCAGAGTGCTGCCGCTTGGTTGGGAAGCATGGAGGCTTTGCTGTGTCTTGTTTTAGAAGCACTGGCTTTCCCACTGGGAACAGAGTGGGCCTCACCCGCTCCTCATGACTAAGTCCAGAGAATGTGTGGTGAAGCAGTTCCGTGACTTTTTAACCTGAGCAGTATTACCCCCATCGTCCATGAATGCTTGGGTTAGTAATTGTATTGCAGCATTGCCGATTACAATAAATGTATGCCCAACCCCGAACTCACCAACACTGGACACTTTGAAGCATGAAGCATTACCGCACACCCCCAGCTTCCCAAGTTTAGAAGTTAGGTGAGCCTAATTTTTCCCCAAGCAGAATCTTAACAGCTCTACTGCTCTCTTCTTTGACAAGTATGGACATTGACACTAACATTGTGCCCTGCAGGACATGTACATTAGCCCCCTCCCCATCCATGGGAAGACATCTAAGACCTCCAGAAGATGCCTGAAATGCAGATAGTGAGAACCCTGTTTTTCTTAACAATAAAAGATGAGCAATAACAGAGAACAAAACAATTATAACAATGCTGTGTAATAAACATTAAGTGAATGTGATCTCTCTCTGATATCTGAGATGACTCAGTGACTAATGGGAGGGTCAGTGTATACAGCGTGGCTACCCTGGACAAAGGAAAGATTCATGTCCAGGGTGGGATGGAGCAGACTGCATTAGATTTCATCACAGTACTCAGGACAGCACACAGCTTGAAACTTACAAATTGCTTATTTCTGGAATTTTCCATTTAATATTTTTGTACTGCAGTTGACCATGGATAACTGAAACCATGGAAAGTGAAACTGCAGATAGAGGGACTACCATAAGGTGGTTGTTTTTTCCCCCCCAGTGCTAGGGATATACTTCATGGATCCATTTTCCAACCCTCTGTGGTAAAGGTACAGTGATAGAGGTTCATATCAGGCCTCTAAGCAAAGGGCATAGAGCCTCTGCAATCAGAAAGATCTGGGTTCAAATTTTAGTGCACTAATATCAAATAAATTATATGTTTCTGTGAGCCTGTTACCTCATCTGCCAAATGGGAGTAACACCATGTCCCTCATCATGGTTGTGAAAATGGTAATATACATAAAATCCCTGGCATATTGCTTCAATATAGTAGATACTCAATAAATGTGTTAGTTACTATCTTTATTATCCAAGAGTTTGAATTGGATAGAGTCCATGATTCTTAATTTCCTGTTATAGTCCTCTTAGTAGAGTCTTCCAGAACTAGAGTTAAAAATATATATGGCCTAAGAGGCTGTTAAATGTCAAATGTCTGTAGAGGTTACTTAGTGGGTAGGAAAGGTTAGAGCACTGAGGTGGAACAATGGTGCCCCTTCCCCGTTCCCATACAGCCCTTGGTCTCAAAAGTTTTAAAAAACTTAAGAATGGGAAAGTGAGGCCTCAGAAAACTATAAATATTTCATTAGAAAAGAAAAGAAGAAAGAGATGGGTAACTGTTACTTTTGGTTATTGATATTCACCCAAGGACATGCTTAGAGAGAGGAAGGGAGGCAGAAACAAAGGGAAGGAAAGACAGGGTTAAGAAAGGGAGAGGGAGAGGGGGAGAGGGAGAAAGAGAGAGAGGAAGAGAGAACATCTATCAGCTGCCTTCTTTCTATATGTGCCCCAACCAGAGATTGAACCCACAACCCAAGTATGTGTCCTAACCAGGAATCAGCAATCTTTTAGTGTACAGGATGACACTCAACCAACTGAGCCACTCCAGCCAGACTAACTGCTATATTTTCTTGTCATTAGCAATATATCGGCTTTCATGTGCTGAGATCCCAGTCTGATGAGAAGAAATGACACGAAGGTCATGGATGGACCTTACTGTCCACTTGGAAAGCTCTTGGAGCACCTTTAGGCCCCACAGCTTCTTTTCAAAGAGACCACCATCTCCAACTATTTCAGGCATCGCATCAGCCTCCCTGGGGGGGATCTTGTGTTCCAGGAGCACCATTAATTCTTCCAGCTGGTAAGCAAAGGCAGCAACTTGGAGTAGAAGGGTATGTATTGCTTGATGGAAGTCACTGTTAGCTGGAGTGAAATGCACCCGTTGGTCATCTAAAAGCCTGATCAACATACCATGGAAGGTACGATAAGCTTGGAGGTTCTCTAGGAGTCGTTCTGCCTCAGGCAGCTCACTCCAGCGATCAGTGCTTGCCATTGGCACACCATCCACAGAATCCAGGTCCATGTCCTTGGGCAGGCCCTGATGCTTCACCTGGCCAAGGATACAGAAAAAACATCACATTCTCAGTTAAATAATCCCTAAAACTCATATAAAATCGTATTCACCTCCCTGGTCATGGACCCAAATGATACAGAAACTCTTGATCCAGGGTCCATAATTGGACTTTCGGGAGATACTTTTGTCCCTCAAATTATACAAATTGCTTTGACTACCTATTTTTCTTGGGAGACTCTGCCATCTTCTTTAGGTTTTCAAGGTTGAAAACCACTGCCTGGAGTAACTTTTTCTTCCCATTACAAACTTTCTCCTGTGCATTTTAATCATACTGAAGTTTTTAAGTATTTTAAACATACTTGATGACACTGGCCACAGCGAGGAAGCCCTGGAATGTAGCCATAGGATTTTTCTAATTGTCTCTTCTCTATTGCTCACTCTCCGTAGTGAGGACAATCCTTTAGAGCAGTGATCGCAACTGGTGGTCTGTGAGGTCCGAAAGGTTGGCGACCACTGGTTTAGAGGATTCAGTGGAAATCAGTTAGAAAAACTAGTGGGGCTGCGCAGACCCTCCACAGGGTCTCAAGTGTTTTCACAGCAGCTCTTAGGTAGAGAATCTCCCACTATCAGAAAACCAATCTGGAACCCATAGTTAATGCTTTAAGAATATAACACTTCCCAGAGAATCTTCTAGGAAACCCTCTTGATAGTGTAGGTGACCTTTCTGTTTAGATCCAGAAATACGTTTTTCCTTTTATATTGGTTTTAGAGAGGGAGGAATGGAAGAAGAGACACATCAATGTGAAACACATCAATTGGTTGCCTCCTGTACATGCCATGACTGGGAAATCAACCCTGAAAACTAGGTATACCCTGACCGGCAATGGAACCCTCAACCTTCCATTGCATGGGACAAGGCGCCAACCAACCAAGCCAGGGCATTCCAGAAACACTTTTGATGTGTTGAATTAAAAAGTGGGTGGCTAATACTATATAGGAGAAATTGATTTGATTTACACTGCTCTCCTCCCAACCCTATAAACATTACTCTGCCTTTCATTTGCATAGTTCAAAAATTCAGAACAACCTATATGAAGAACCCCAAATTAGAGGGCTCATGGTTAATCTATTCTGGTAGAATTCAAATTAGGCAATCAAATTAGGAACAGCCTCCAAGATAGATAGCCAACCCTACCTAGCGACCCATGGGTATTTTCCTATCAGGAACAAATCTCCTAAAAAACTTAGAGAAAGGAAATAAACTCATGTAAGTTTCCTTAAGGGAAGGGGCCATGTCAAATAATGTGTGCCCATTATACAGCTGACTGTATTAGAGCTTTCATAATTGGTAATGGGGCTGAAGCATGATGGTAAAGGGTGGGATCAGAATAGATGAAGTCAAAATAGACAATAACAAAATAGGCAACTTACATAAGATTCCATAAGAGCCGTCAGGTCTGAACGAATCTTTCTTGCTAGCCAGATGGAGCGGCTACAGAGATCCCGACGACGGTGAGGGGTCAGCGATGAGTGCTCTGCGAAAGCCATCCCCTAACTCAACTGTCCCAGGAAACAAGTGAGCTGAGTTTGTTTCTGTCTACACTGTTCCAAATAAGAAATGTGACACCCAGACTAAATCCACTGGGCATTCTCTAAGGGAATGTCGTTCCCCACCCCCAACCCTGCCTGACTCAGAGGTGGCAGCAAATTCCTGGCTGTGGATTTTTGTGCCTGTGGAATCAAAGGCCCCTTTTACTCAGCTTTTTTTCCTGCAGCGTCTGCCTCCATCTCTCTCCTCCGAGTGCCTAGCCTACTTGTTTTTGTGTCATTGTTTTGCTTTTGCACTTAGCAACAAGGTCACTATCACACTAATCCTCATGATACCTAATGTAATCTATTTTGTATACACATATCATCAGTTCACTTTATTACTCTCTCCCTTGTGCTCCCCATGTCCTTTTCTTTTCCTTTTCGTCCTGGTAGTCTTCAATACTACATCATTATTATTGATATAGCTGCCATTTATTAATTACCTATCCTGGGCCAGGCACTGCTCAAGGCTATAAAGCCTTTAATCTTCAGAATGTTCTGAGATAAATATTATTTGCCTCATCTTACATAAAGTTTATGTGAAAAGGGTCCTTTAAAAAATACAGCTTCTTTTTGCTCCCATCCTTTTGCTGTGTATTTAAAGTTAACTTACATTTGGTTAAAAATCAGCTAAGAAGGCATCTCTGATCTCAATCACAGTGCCTTCCTCATAGCTACAGGATGAAGATACTGTTTAGGCCTGTTCTTTTCCAAAGGACAGTAAACACCCAACCCTGACATGGTAACATTACTAAGACAGTCTCACTCAAGTGACAACATGTTTTTCTTTTTCTTCCTTATCTCAGTTATACCACATGCTTCTCCACAAAATAAGATTAGTTGGGCTTTGAAATGAGGGCAAAAGAGTTTGAAAGCAGCTGTAGAGTTGCTATTCTATTGCATTTAACTCAGTAAAGGTTAGAGGATGGTACTAACTGGTAGAAGTTGCAAGTCTCAACTTCAAACGAATTAATTAGCTCTCATAGACATTGCCTCTAAATTGAAACATGCCTTCTCAGGGACAAATTTCCATAGGTAAACAAGAAAGAAATGAAGTACGGGTGGCTGTCACAGTAGCCTTTCACTTAGATAAAAGGATACTATTTTTTTAAAAAAAGTTATTATTTTGTCAACTCATCACATGGCATATCAGCATCATAAATCAAGAACTAAACACTGTCAAAAGTTAACCCCCCCTGATTTTCCACAGAGCAAACAGTATCTGCCACATACAGCCTGCTCCATGGGCACCTGGTTTTCTTATTTAGCTGCATCAATTGTTTTACCCTGGGACAACTGTAACTCAGTACAACCAAGGAAGACCAGTTGCTTCCATGAAGACAATTTTATTTTCTTCTTTACATACTTAATTTTGGATATGTCTTACCTATATTAAGAGAAAACAAGAATTTGAAAAGCAGAGTATCCCTTTTATTATTATAATTTCTTTTTACATAACTTTTCAACCTAGATTCAGGTAACTACCTATCTCTCCCATAAAAGGAGAAGGGTCCTGCATATTACAATAGGCAAAAAGGCTTTTAGGAAATAAAAATATTTTAAATTGATCCATTACAATTTTTCAATCTTCTTCGGTACATTGGAAAGTGGGAAAAAGACAAGAGAGAGAAATGGAATTTCAAACAACCAGACTGTAATAACCTCAGATTTAATACACTCTTTATATTTTTTTTTCCAATCAAGTACAAAGGAGGTTCAAGTGCTCTATGTGGATGCCTTTTCATACCTTAATATATTTTTTTACTCCCAGTAATCCTGGCCAGTGTTTATCTAAACTTTCTGAAGCATATTAGGTTTCAATTATGCAAAATAATCCTGGGCAATCAAACAAGGGGGAAGCATAGAAATAATGTTTGTATCTCAACTACATTTTCAAGAATCTAGAGTTGCCAATTCAAGATGGAGAATATGCAGTGGGGGAAAAGGATAACAGAATTTGACTAAAAGTAAGAAATGCAGAATTTTAAGATTAAAAGAGCTCCTTGGAAGGACAACGTAGTAAACAGCATGAAGAGCAGAAAAGAAAAAAAGAGGGCCCAGTACATACACAAATTCTTTCCTATGCTAGCATCCTCATCTCAAAAGGAAAAAAGATAAAGTCCATGAAAAATACAAGTTTATTGCAAACTGCTATAATAATTTATTGAAGCATATTATAGGCAAATGGTAGCTATGAAGAGAACAAAGAGAGAAAGGACAGATAGTTTCAATTATTAGAACTCTGACAGGGAGAGAGGAGTGTGAGAACATATTTACCTCTATCTCAAAGATTTTAATGCAGTTTGCTTTCATGACTAAAATATCTCATTACTAACTACCAAAAATGTAATTTATGGACACAAAGGATAAAATAAAGGTAATGAAGACAAAGGTAAATATGGGGAAAGGATGTTAGCTAGTGAAACAGTACAAAATAGACTTATGTGGGGGGGGAGAGGGGGGGGAGGGGAGAACAATTTTGCTGTAGACCCACCCAATCAATCATGTATATTTTCATATCTAATCAACATACCAAAGTCAACTCCAAATCCTTTCTGTGGGCAGGAAAGCACATTCTACATCCCTTCTATCCTTATTCCACTTTCTACCCCCACACTGGAGGGATGGCAATGCTGCCATACACTGAAGAGAAACAATAGTGCATTTAAGCCTGTGCACTGTAGGTGCCTCACTCCCCACTCCCTGGTATCCCAGCCACGGGCACTTGTGGGTGTCAAGTATGCCTATTTCAGAGATGACATTTTGTTACCCTCTTCTTGGAGGAAAAAAGTCAAAGAGAAAATTGATAAACTTTGTAGTTTTAGTGTTTGTGAAAAACAAGCTGTTCCTCATTTTGTTCTCAGCAAAACTTCATTCTTTCCAACAGCCATCGCACATTTCCAACAAACAATGCATAGGGCAAGCCTTCAATTCCAGCTTCTGAGGTACACAGGACAAAAATTGCGCTTTTAATTCCCTAAAAATGAGCCCAAATAGGTTTTTGTCTTCTGGGAGTTAAGAGCTTATATAAAAACATTAACTGCCTCTCTCATGAACAATAATAAGCAATCCATCCCTTGAAAATTCGTATTTCAAGGGAAGTGGTAATTCCAAGAATTTCTGGTGGGAACCAAAGCTATTATTACATTAATTTTGTCTATTGAAGCCTTTTTTTCTTCTGAAGTGTTTGTAACTAAACTTAGGAAACAAAACTGAACATTTTTCTTTGACTTAAAATTGTATGACTCCTAGACTATTCCTTCACTAATGGCAGTGTCCTTCACTAATCGGGAGCTGGAATGAGCCAATGATAAAGCAAAGCAAAAACAAAAACAAAGCAAGGGGCTAGAGTTGGGCCAATAGGGAGGTATACGTAAAGAAATGATGGGGGAAAAATAAAAACAAAAACTAATTCTCAAGAGAAAATCTCATATCTGTAATTCAGACCCTGAACAACCTTCCTCATCCCCTCAAAATTCCTAAATCTCAATGTTCTAAAAACTCACAGAGCACTAATGACCACAAATATAACATTCTCCCCTAAAAAGGCTTCTGAAAAAGCACTAAGCTACTGTAGTGATTTTATTAGTGCCGAGGACCAGCTTAAAGGCCACTGGAGAGCTATGATTTTAGAGGCTGGCTGTGCTTCTTCAACCCTATTATCTTGCCTTCAAAAGTACCTCTTATGGAAAGGACCCCATGTCAGAATAATGTAATCTCTCCCAGCCCCACAAAATATAGCAACAAAGACAAAAAAAAAAAAAGAAAAAAAATCAGACTTTCCGTTAATAAATAAGAAATCTCAGGTTCCACAACACAAAAACACACATGTTCAAAGTGCAAATTTCTGCCATTAAACTGGGACTTTTATGTCTCACTGATACGCAGCCCTGTCCTATGGTCAAAGAAACCATGTAAAGGGCAGCCCCTCCCTGTTGGGAGCCTGCTTCCAAGCGAGCACCACTGAGAGCCATATAAAGGTATTGGGAGGAGGATTGAGGTGCTGGGGTCAAAGTGGTCCCCATGTATGTATCCTTCCTTTCTGAAACCAGGTGAGGAACGGAGGAAAAGGGGGTGAGAGATGTGTGCTGTTTTAACAGCTCACCCTGCTAAGGGGCCCTAAAGTGCCAAGTTAAGCTGCCAGCCTCCAGAGATTAGAATTATATGATACTTTGAGAGTAAGTGTGCTGCAGTGGGTAGTAGCCAGACCATGGGGCAGCAGCAGAGAAGGACAGTATATACTACTAAGAGTTAAAAGCTGATCCAGAACATGTAAGATTTACAGGTTGAGAAAGGGAATCTGCTAATCACAGGAAGTCTGCCTGGCTGGAACCGAGCATGAGGATAATCTTCGCTTTAAGAGCTTTGTATTTTTTGTCTACCTTTCTGGTAAAGGCAACATCAATTTTGTATAGGGGAGAGAAGAGGGAGGAGAGAAAGAGTGGATGTATGTGTGTGTGCTGTGATCCATATTGGAAAGAGCAGGCCCTTCAGTTCCTTTACTAGATCTTAAATGCTTTAAATTTTTTTTGTCCTTTTTATCTTTTAAATACAAAGTCTGAGCTGTCCCAGTGCCTAGTCTTCCCTTCTACTAAGGTCCAGTAGAGTCTGAATCTTCAATCAGAACCTCTGTGGTAGCACCGAGTATATCCGAGTTCATGACCAGCCCTTCAGTGCCCCCACTGCTGCTGCTTTCCACAAAGATCTTCCCATCAGCCATCAGGCTCACCCGTTCTGTCCCACTACAGAATGATTTTGACATCCCTTCAGCCTCTAGCAGGAGGCACTCTCCAGAGGTGGAGTTTCCCAAGGGCTCAGGAAGAAGAGGAAGACCCTGACCATCTGCAGGTTGTGTCAGAGACTCTGGGTTAGTGCCTAAGATATCTGTGCTGGTGATGAGGGCGCCTGCATTGGCAGCCAGAGCTTCGGCAATCAGCACCTCAGGGTGGCTTTTTGCTTTGTGTGCCACTACGCTGTCCTTCTTCTCAAATTTTTTGCCACAGATATTGCAAGAGAACTGGTAGAAGGAGTCTGCATCATGCTTCTTCATGTGCCAATTAAGGGATGCCTTTTGCCGACAAGTGAATCCACAGATCTCGCATCTAAGGAGAGGAAAAGAAAATGGTTGATCAGATAGAGAAATAAAGAGTTCTTATTCAAAGTCAGGTGTGATTTAGAGATCATATACATAAGTAATAGAGTAACATATACTTTTTGTGAGAGACCAGAAAAAGTTACCAGATGGAACACTAATCTGACTTCTGTTTGTTTAAACAACAACAGAAAAAGTTCTCTAAGTAGGCTCACCCAAACCATACCCACTATAATTTGGTAAAAGTAAAGAATAGCAGAAGCTTAAGTGTTTTTAAAGGGGTTAACCCTCAAGTGGGGTAAATAAATGTACTTCTCACCTAGATGTTTATCAATAAATAAGTACTCACTGTAATGGCTTCTCGCCCGTATGGATCATCCGATGCACCGCCAGATTGTGGGAACTCTTGAAGGCCCGAGCACAGTATTCACAGATATAATCCCTTTGATCTACGAAGAAAAAATTGTGGTTTGTTTTCCATTTAGAAACCGTTTCCCCTAGTTCGAAATAAGTAAGCAGATGATCGGGAAGATCAATTTCAGAGTAAGAGCAACACTGTTTTCAATATATAAAAATTGGATAAACAAAAATTTAGAATATACAGTTCTATTTTGTTTCTTTTTTTAACTCCATGCATTCAATAGTGCAAGAACCTATTTTTTAAAAAAACACCTCAATAGGAATATATGAGAACTAAAATCCTAATCTTAATTTTACCAGCAATCCAGATCTTGGATAAATTGCTTGGCAAGTCAGTAACTACATTTTTCATAGATTTTATTCTTTAAAAATGTTATCCAAGATAAACAATTTATACTTCTCTCAATAGACTCAAATTGCTGCTATCAAATATACTGCACAGAACCTGTATTTACCTAATTCTTTTATCCCACATCATCTGTACCATTCAACCACCACCCTCTGTCATTTCAAAAGCCCTTCAAATTTCATAGGATTTTTGATGAATTTGATAACATGGTGTGGAATCTATGTGGCAAAGGAGCATCGTACTTAATTACTTGTACTTAATCATTTGGTTCACAAGAGGGTGCACAAACAGATGCTTAATACCATTTGTTGAATGAATGACCAGTACATTTTCTATGCCTTTCACTTAATATTACTATAAGTAGTGAAAACACAAGGATAAATTAAAAGGCAAAAAAATAACAAAATTAATCTTATATTCTATCCCAAACAGTTTTAAAATTAAATATGGGAGAAGAGCCAAGTTTTTCTCAAGTTTGAATATATATAGGAACCACCAAGAGACCTTGTTAAATGTATATGCTGATTCGGCAGGTCATCCCTTATAAAATTTATGTTATTATATTTTACTTTTCCACCTTTCTCTCATACTTGACTATAGATTCTTCTAAGATTTATGTTAGAAAAAGAACATAATTACCACTTGCACTTAAAAGTACAATGCATTTATATACTTGCTGAAAATTTTATTTTGAAAGTACCTGTATGATGTTTCGCATGTCGCAGAAGTTGCTTCTGGAGCCTGAAGAGTCGCCCACAGGAGGGATGAGGGCATACATATTTCTTCTTCAGCAAATGCTGATATTTAATGTGGTGCTAAAACAGTAAAAGGAAGTGAAGAGGGATAAAAATTAAGGCTTCTCAGATATCTGTTTTTTTTGCTAAGTCAAAGTGCTGAAGAAAAAAATCAAATACTTTGTATATGGATAGAGAGGCTATATAATCAAACTAGATTTCATGCATGGGTGGGGTCCCTCGGCCTGGCTGGTGATCAGGGCTAATGGCGGGGTGGAGGGACCTGGGGAAGGGAGGGGGAGTGAAGGGGGGAGAAACTGTGGGGGGTTGGCTGTGGGAGCACAGTGACTACCAGGGGGCAGCTCATGAGTTGAGTGTCTGCCCCCTGGTAGTCAGCGCACATCATAACAACAGGTCAATCAGTCATTCCGTCGCTTAGGCTTTTATATATATAGAGATAGTTAAGAACATAGGCTACAGAAATAAACTTGTGATTCCAATCAGGGCCTGTCATTTAGGAACAGCATGATCTCAGGATTTTTTTTTTTTTTTTGCACTTAATACTATAAGCTCCAGTTCTCATTTGTAAAATGGAGATCACCTGTCTTGTAATGTTGTAAGGATCTAGAGATCATATACTATATGGTGCTTAGTGTATAGCAAATGATACATAGCACAAGAACACTAGCTATCATTATTGTAACAGAACCAAAACAGAAAGTAAGGCCTGAATCTCATGTTGTATTTGCTACTAAACTAAATATCAAACAGGCATTTCCTAGGCTTTAATGATTTGTATTCACTTTCATATTTTCTGTGAGACCTAAAAATAAGCTGTTATCTTTATTCCTACTTTAAAAAAACTCTATTCACTTCTAAAAAACCCTGCAAACTAAAATTTTTTAATTGATTTTAAACAGTATTTAAGAAATCACTGGTTTGAGTTACTAAATTTATCTTTCAAAAATGCACATTAAAATAAAATCTGTTCTCTTTTGTCTTGGTGTATCATTATAATAATCTTATATCAAAAGTATTTGCACTATAATGGGAAACACTGAGTTTTTCTCAAGTTTGAATGTACATAGGAACCACCAAAGAAAATCCTCCATTTGGGCTCAGGTTCTTAAGACACTTCTCTTCTTCCTTTTTTTTTTCCTTAACCAATGAATAAATTAATTTTATGTTTAAATAAAAATTTTTCTTGACACTGCATGTTAATGATAAAGCTTACACAAAAACACACATCATAAAGTCCCATGAAGCTTGAGAACTAATAATGGGACATTAACTTGGAAGGCTGTCTTACACAAAAACTTCACTGACCTGTAAATAGCGAGGGTGAGCAAGAACGGTTCCACATCCTTCCATCTCACAACGCACATACTGGATTGGAGGCTTTTTTCTAAGTCAGCATGTAGGAGAAAAGTTAGCAACAGAGAAGACACAGTCTGCTCAGTGACCTTCAACTCAAACTGTACTATTAGGAAATAGCAAGTATATACTATTATTACAGTTTCCATATAATTTGTTACAAGTAACCAGCAATTGCAAAATGTTTAATAATGTTTATACAAAAAATAACAGAAAATAAATTAGTAATCCCATATCCCCAATGGGTAAAAAAATACTAAGATTTTTAGAAACACTCGGGTCCTGCAGTGGAAATAAAAACACAGTACCTCTGTATCACGGACTCTAATATTAAAGTTATTTTTGTCCATTCCTGCAGGATTATTATAAGGGCATATGTGAGTAAAATGCCTACCACCAGAAACAAAGTAAAACACAGGAGTACAAATCCTCACCTCCTTTTGGGAAGTCGTGGACTTTTGTCATCTTTTCTTCTTCTTCCTCTCCTATAATAATAATAAAAAAAGTAAACTGTCCATATATTCTGGATTGAAGTTTATTGAAGGATGGCTGAAAATATATATACTCAAGACCAAAGAACAGGTAGCAGAATACATAAAGTACTAACATATCTGGCAAACCAAACCAAGATTTCACTTGCAAGTAATTTTACTTTCCAAAAAGTCTGCACCACAAGTTAAAAATATACTATTCATAAACTATACAATACTATAGAAGATTTGGATAAATATCAAGGTTACTACTTGAAAAATTGTTTCAGTGAAAAGTATACCACTTAAATATTAAAGAGTAGAAGAGTCTATATCTAAAAAACACTAAAAATATAAATTATAGTCTCCTAGCACTAAAACCAGAAAGCCTAAAAATACAAAAATCTTATTACTGCAACAAGAAATGGTTGCAGGATAAGAAAGGTTTTACTTGATCAAGGTTATTACATCACTTGCCATACTTTTTCTTGCTGTTCTACTCCTCCTGTATCCCTATAACTTACTATCTTGCCTATTCATTTGTATGTCTTTAAGTACCACCTCTGAACTACACTTTTCAAGCTTTTTTTGAGAATAGTCTCTGCAATACAATTGTTAGCTGCTCAAGGCAGGAATACAGGGTGGGCAAAAATAGGTTTACAGTTGTTAAGTACAGGAAACAGTTTATTACTGTATTAGAGGCCTGGTGCACAGATTCATGTATCGGTGGGTCCCTCAGCCTGGCTGTGCCTCTCGCAATTTACGATGTCTGGGGAATGCCAGAGAGCCAGTTTTAACCAAATCCCCACAGGCCAGGCTGAGGGACCCCACCAGTGCACAAATCCATGCATTGGGTCTCTAATATGCATATAAGATCTTTGCTTAATCTCTTCTGACCCCCCTTCCCTCTGAGATTCATCATCTGTCCCATGTTTCCTTGCCTGTGGTTTCCACTCCTGTGTTGAGCATCTTCCCGCTGTGGTCAGTGTGCATCAAGATACCAGGCGAATGGTCACTTAGGTTTTTATATATACTAGGGGTCCAGTGCATGAAGATTCGTGCATGGGGGTTGGTCCCTCAGCTTGACCTGCACCCTCTCCAATCTGGGATCCCTCAGAGGAGCCCTCTCTAATCTGGGAGTTTGTTTGTCTTTGCAATCATGTGAGCCAATTGTATAAGACCTCAACCCAGTTTGGTTTGTTGCTCACAGAATAATAGAAGCTTTTTTTTTTTTTTTTTCTTTGCTTCATTGATAGAGATTTCCTGGAAGTTTTAGGATATCTTCCCTTTAATTTTTCCTAGACACTCTGATTTTACTTATGTCTCTCACCTTTGCTTTCCCTCCATCCCCCACTGCAACAGTAACTTGCTCCAGGCTCACTTTGCTCCAGTGTCTAGATGTCTGCCACAAGAACTATGATTCCCAGAATCCCTGGTGCTCCCTGCGCTCTTGGCTTTCCCTTCCTGCTCTGTCTCCATCCCACAGTCTTCTGCTCTTCCAAGTCCTCCAAAACACTAGCTCTCCCTCTCTGCTCTCCATCTGGTGGCTTGGGCAGCTAAGTTCCCCAAGCCGCTCCACTCTCCGCTGGCTCTCCTGCTCTGTTCTCCCCGGCTCCCCCACAGTGCCTGTGTATGCCATCTTTGTCAGGTTAATTTGCATATTCACTCATGATTGGCTGGTGAGTGTAGCTTAGGTATGGTCAATTTAGATGTTTCTCTTTTATTATTAGAGGCCTGGAACATGAAATTCATGAATGCGGGTAGGGAAGGTCTCCCCTCATCCCAGCCTGCTACCTCTCTAATCTGGGACCCCTCAAGGTATATTGGACATCTGGAAGTCTGCAATCTGGGACTGCTGGCTCCTAACCTCTCACCTGCATGCATGCCTGATAGCCCCTAACCACTTCTAACTACTGGCCTGATTGCCCCTAACTACTTCCCTGCTGAACTGATTGCCCCTAACAGCCTCTACCTGCTGGCCTGGTCTCCTCTAACTGCCCTCCCCTGACAGCCTGGTCGCCCTAACCACCTCTGCCTCAACCCCTGCCACCATGGCTTTGTCCAGAAGGATGCCGGTCTAATTAGCATATTACCCTTTTATTAGTATAGATTATTACTTATTTTATTATTTTCCGTAAGACCTACAAACATACTTTTACTCCACCCTATATGTATATATCAGCATCTCCCCTCACACTCCCACCATTTTTCCACTAGTGCTTTCAAAATGTTAAGTTTCCATTTTTAGTAGTAATTGCTCACTCACTTCCTAGGAGGTTCCTCATCTTCCCTAATTTCATTCTCTTCTTCTTTCACCTCTACCTCTACTTCCACTTTAATTTCTTTCTTCTCTTTCTCCTCTTTCACTTTTCCTGATTTTCTCCGTGGTTTTGGGGTTTCCCTGAAAGCACAAATACATTTCAACATTGGTATCTAGCAAAGTATCCTTTCAAGGAAAACTTGATAACAAGATAAAGCCTGGGATTATCATGGATTTATTATAAAATGATGACCCTAGGCTCATGAAATGATTTCCAGCTAACCATTCCTCATATGCACAAGTCTATGGGATAACCCCCACCCAAGGCTAATCATGTCCTAAAATGAAATCTCACTATAGTTACAAAGAAAAACAAAATAAAATCAGAAAATTCCAAGTATTCGGGCAATTCATGATATCTTGTTACAATAAAACATGCAGATGTCATAATAATAGGAATATAATCAAAGTAAAGTTCTATAATGGAAGAAAGTGTTGTAAGAGGGGCAATAAGAATGTTAGATTTGCAAAGTAAGTGCATGCATAATTAATTATCCATTTAAAATTGAGTCTAGCTCTAGCTGATTTGGTTTAGTAGATAAGAGTGTCAGCATGTGGACTGAAGGGTCCCAGGTTTGATTCCAATCAAGCTCAGGTTGTGGGCTCAGTAGGGGGCAAGCAGGAGGCAGCCAAACAATGATTATCCCTCATCATTGATGTTTTATTTCTCTTTTCCTCTCCCTTCCTCTCTGAAATCAATAAAAATATTTTATAAAAATATAAATTAATAAAATTAAGTCTATATCCATTAGTTTTGCAACAAGTCAAAGCAAAAACATGCAACAGTGCTTTCCAAACTTATTTTTCATTGACATGTCTGGAATAAAATGAGAGATACCTTTCTAAGTGGGGTTTATAGGTCTCATCTCTTGGGTCATCCTTGAATGGTATTTCCTCTTCACTGATTAACATCTCTTCTTCTTCTTCTTCTTCCTCTTCCTCACTACTAAAAAGCAGCAAATAAGATTAGAAATTCTAGCTGAAGATTGAATCTGAGGAGATTTTCTAATTTAGTATATATTATTAAGTACATTTTTTTGGAGGTATTCGAAGATTCACAGTAAGTTATCTAGACTTTTTATTCTTATGATCTAGTTGAAGTGCATCTACCTGCTATACCCTGAAGAAAAAAATGTAACTAAAAATGCTAGATACATTATCATCTTATTAAACAAAGGCAAGGTGATCAATGTTCAATGGTGTGATGAGCTAAAATCCAATGGACTTCATAATACTATGGCTAGGAATCTGTCATATCAAAAAACACCTATCAACAGACAAAAGAATAAATAAAAATCATGTGATTCACCACCAAAGATATTGATAACATTTCATAATCCTGATCTAAACAACCTCATTTCATATTAGTGCCAAGTATGGACTAAACCAGAACACAGAAGATGCTTGAGATAATGAACTATATAGCTGAACTATATAGCTAGATGCTGAACTATATAGCTACAGTTTACATAGTTATGGCTCTATAATCAAGAATAAAGTGGGCCCGGGCATGTATTGCTCATTGGTTAGAGCCCTGGCCTATGGGTCTTGGGTTCAATTCCAGGTCAAGAGTTGCAGGTTCAATTTCCAGCCCTGGTTGGGGTACGTGAAAGAGGCAAACAATCAATGCGTCTCTCTTACATCACTCTTTCTCCTCTGTCTCCGACTCCCCTCCATTCTCTCTTAAAATCAATGGGGAAAAAAATCCTCTGGTGAAGATTAAAAAAAACAAAAACAAAGTGGGATTTAAACTAAATACCAAAACTTCTGAAGTTACTTTCTTTGTTATAGTTCAAAATTCAAATAGAAAACAACTTTAAGAATTTAATGTGATTGTATTCTATGTTCCCAAGAGATGAAATATGAAATGTTTCTTACCTGATGCCACCTGGAGATTGATGCTCTTCTGCTATTTCTGAAAAAATCAAGCCAAAACAAAACATTACCTATTTAATTTTCTCCCTGCAGCTAAGAGACCAAATTACTGCTTCAGGCAATCACACAAAAGGAGAATATCTACAAATTGTCAAAAAACAAACAAACAAACAAACAAACAAACAAACAAAACCCTCCCTTTATCACTACACCTTCCCCTGAAAGTTAAGCTGTTTTGGTAAATGTTTAGCATTACATTTAAAAGCAACAGACAATGGTTCTTACATAACCATTATCTGCTTGCCCCATACCATAATCAAGCTGATCTGTATTTGGTTCTGACTTGCAGATGAGCTGCAATGAACCAGTCTTGGACCTAGAACTTCGGGTGTTCTCTGTGTCACGATGCCGAGAGATAGATGTCCTGCTGCTACTGCGCCAGCCCCGGGTAGGCCTAGTTGTAGTAATGGTAACTTCCTGAGGGAGGATAGAACTGTCTTCTTCATTTTTCTCTTCCTTGGGATCTAGATGAAAACATATCATTCTTTTTAAGTTGATAGCCAACCAAAAACTATACTTGTATACCTATTATTGTAAACTAAATCAAGAAGGTAAACTTTTTTAAAAATAAAGATTTTTATTGATTTCAGAGAGGAACGGAGAGGGAGAGATAGAAACATCAGTGATGAGTAAGAATCATTGGCTGCTTCCTGCTAGAGATTGAACTCATAACCTGGGCATATGCCCTTGACTGGAATCAAACCCAGGATCCTTCAAGTCCACAAGCTGATGCTTTATCCAGAGCTAAACCAGCTGCACAATAAGCATATTTTTTTTTAGAGAAAAAAAAAATATCTTTCAGCCTCTTAAAATAGAAACAACAAAATGAGAATCAGATAAAACTTACCTTATTATTATCTCTTTAAAGAAAAATCTTATTTTATACTTATTTATCTACTAAAAAGTATGTTTGGAGGAGTATGTAAAATATACTCAAGTAATTAATTCATGGAATTCTAACTTTTAGATCTAAGACAACAGATCCTGACTTGAGTGAGGGATGACTGAAAAGTATAGAGGCATTTAAAGAATCATAAATATAGATGTTTTAACAACAAAGAAATTCCATAACAGGAATGCTTCCCTTGATTCTTATTAACCTATACTTTCCCATACTTTAAAAGGAGAAAGGTGAGGTAGGGTCACCCCAGTCTGCACAAACTAAACTAATAAAAGAGAAACATGCAAATTGCCTGTACCTCCACTACGCCCACAAGCCACACCCACTAGCCAACCAAGAGTGGGTATGCAAATTAACCCAACCAAGATGGCTGCAGTCACAGAGTTAGCTGGAGGCTTGGGGTTTCTCTGGAAATCGAGGAAGCCAAGCTTCCTGCCTACCCTGGCTAGCCCTGGCCTCTGCTCAAGGTTACAAAGTTTCAATTATAGAAGATAAATAAATCCCAACAAAAATGGCTGTAGCCAAGAAGCTTTCAAAAGGTGGCTTGGCTCCCCTCCAGACTGTTTGTGTACATACTTAGATTTTTTCTTTTTTGTTATAGTAACCAGCTTCACTGTTTCTACATCTATGTTTTAATTTTATTTCCAACAGACAACAGCTACAGGAACACTAAAAGAATAAAAAATATAAATGACCATTAGCAAAATTTCTATAGATAAATTAGAATCACAAACTAGTGCCACTTATTTTCAAAGTATAGGCATTTAGGTAAATGTGTCCCTTCAACACATTAACAGACTGCTTAAACATAGGTTTGAGAAAGTGAAAGGATGTTTTTTCTTTGAAACTGCCAATTTGAAAACATGTTATTAACTGAATGGTTTATATAGCTAACAATTAGCTAAAATTTTAACATTTAAGTTTAAATAAATATGGTTGGACTCTTGAGTAGATGAGTGGGTGACAGATTAGGAGAAAGTAGGCACGTAATTGTCATGAGATGGAAAATGAAAATAAGACCAACATGACTGGAGAAGAGAGAACATGCTGCTTTAGAAGAAAAATCTAATAAGAAAGGTAGCCACAGAAAGCAACAAAGAGTTTAAGTACAAAAGCAGGTTCAGATTTGGTTTTAATGTTCACTCTGGTTGCAGGTGAGAGAATGACTTAGGTAGGTAATAGAAGATTCATGAGACTTGCTAAAAATCTACTGTAATAGACTAAGCAATGAATAAAACACTAATGTGCAAATCAACCCAACAGTGAAATGATTGGCCGGTAAGACATGCACTGACCACCAAGGGGCAGACGCTCAATGCAGGAGCTGCCCCCTGGTGGTCAGTGCACTCCCACGGGGGGGGGGGGGGGGGGGGGGGGGGAGAGGGTGGTGGTGGTTTAGAAGCACGGCTCAGCCAAAAGCTGGGTTTATAGCTGGCAAGCACAGGAGCAGTGGCAGGAGCCTATCTCACCGATTGTTTCTCTGAAGAACCCTAAAACAGATACTTAAAAGTGATTCCGGAAGAAGAGAACCTTAAGGGGTTCTGATTAGTTTTTGTGGGCTGATTAGATTTAAAGGCACTAATGACTAATATTTCCAGTAATAAGGTGAACATTAAAAGTCCATTTTCTGATGTGACAACAGAAATAGGCAAAAATATCAACAATGGATATTCTCAAGTATATTTATAATAAGAGACCAAGTTCTGGCGATCATGTATTTGATACCTTAGAACATTTCAAACTAACAAGTATAGTGAGATTGGCTGGTTACTCCTAAATTGTGACGGATAAAATGGTGAAAGGTGAAGATGTGCTCAGAAGACTCAAATTCCCAGTTCAAGTACCACGTAAGTGATCTGAAAGAAATCCTTATCTCCTACAGCTGCAGAGGTGAGGTTGCTGAAAACCAAATCCAGAATCTCACATAAAGGCAAACTTGCCTATAGCTACTGCTGCCTATAGCCTAATGAGCTAAAGGCAGAGACCAACACACTGAGTCTCAGATATGGCCTCATTCCGGTAACAGGCAGGCTCATTACACTGGACCGCTTTTATCATGGAAGTGGCAGTGTTTTGTTCATACTGGATTAGACACTCACTCCAGATATGTATTTGCCTCCCCTACACACAATACTTCTGCCGACACTACCATTTGTGGACTTTACAGAAAACCTTATCCACAGTCATGGTATTCCACACAGCACTTCTAATCAAGGAAATGATTTCACAGCAAATGAATGGAATTCACTATCTTAGCATGTTCCCCACCATCCTAAAGAAGCTAACCTGAGATAATAGTGGGATGGCAATAACAAAAATTGGTGAAAATTACAAAGAAACAGAAACCTTCATTTATGGATGATGCGATGTATCACAATTATGGAAATGTTTGCAGTTTTCTAGTTAAACATACATTTACCAAAAAAAAAATCAAGCAATTTCACTATTAGATATCTACCCTAAAGAAATAAAACCATTTGTCTGCTCAAAAACTTTTCCATGAATATTCAAAGCTTTATTATTTATGACAGCTAAAAATTGGACAACTGATGAATAAATCAAGTGGATTTTACACACACACACACACACACACACACACACACACACACACGCCTAATATGCAAATCGTCCCCTCAGGAATTCAAATGGGAGTCCAATCACTCGCTATGACCTGTGCTAACCACAAAGGGGCAGCGAGGAACGAAGAAAGGCCCTGGCCAGCAGCCAGGGAAGGAAGACTCCAGTTGCCAGCCAGTGGTAGGGTCCCTACTGTGCACAAATTCCATGCACCGGGTCTCTAGTACAATAAAAGAGTATTATAGGAATTATATAATAAAGACATGAAAATACCAATTCATGCTACAACATGGATTAACCTCAAAAACATTATGCTAAGTGCGAGAGACACAAAAACAATAAACATATTTATAAAATATCTAGAAAACAGATAATAGGGGGTGAGGCTGGCCAGCCACCAACCTCCTGAAGGTCCCCCCCACCCCCCCACCAGCCACACCGAATTGGCCCCACCACCCTGATCGGCTCACAGCTCCTGTCCCTGGCCAGCACTACCCCTGATGGCCACCCCACTTCAATAAGGGGTAGGGCTGGCCAGCCAACCTCCTGCAACCCCTTCCTCCGCCCAGCCCAACCCCAGATTACCCGCCCACCCAGATCAGGGACAGGGCCAGCCAGCCAATCACCCATGGCCCCTCCCCCAGGCCACTGGCCTCTGATCAGCAACTCCACCCACCTCATTTGGGGCTGGCTGACCTACCATCCACAGCCCCTCCCCATGGCTGGACAAGCCCCCAATCGGCCACCCAACCCTAATTGCGGGCAGGGCCTGCCAGCCAATAGCCTGCAGCCCCTTCCCCCAGCCGACTTGGCCCTGATTGGGGGCCCTGATCAAGCCATCCTGCCATCGCCTCCTCCCAACAGGCCCAGCCCCAATACACCCTGACTTGGGCTGGGCTGGCAGGACCCCATCTGTGCACAAATTCATGCACTGGGCTGCTAGTCTATATGTATAAAACCCTAATGTGCAAGTAGACCAAACTGCAGAACAACCAAACAACTGGCTGCCATGATGTGTGCTGACCACCTGGGGGCAAGTGCAGAACATGGCAGGCATTGGCAGTAGGCAGTAGAGCGGGGAACATGATTGGCATCAGCCACAGCAGGATGGTGGAGCAGGTGAGCAGGGATGCCAAATCATGGTGAGGCACTGGTTGCTGTCACTGGGGCAAGCCTCTCATGGTTACTGAAAATTCTTTGCTCTCATGAACTGCAGTCCCGCCAGGCGCTTGCATCCACTGCTGGATCGCTTGGCACCATCAGTAAGTGTGAGCGGCGGCTGCTGGCCCCAATCGCCCCTGAGGGCTTCTCTATTTTCCCTTGTCCTAAGGGGCAATTGGGACAACAACTGCCGCTCCCACCCTCTGACGGCACTGGCCCCGCTCACACCTGCTGCTGGTGCCGGCCCCAATCGCTCCATGCTGTTAGTGGATGTGAGCAGGGCCTGAGCCATCAGTGCAAGGGAATGCTAGTGGTGGGGGCTGCCAGCAGACAGGGACCAGGGGCCATGGCGGAAGGGGCTGAGCAGGGGTGCAGAAGATGGGCTGAGACCCACCCTTGTAACCACAGCCTTGCAGTCCACAGTTCCTTTCAAGGTGCATGAATTTGTGCACTAGGTCCCTAGTGTTCTTATAATGTTAACTAGTGGCCTAATGCACGAAATTCATGCACGAAGGGGGGCCTTTTGGGGGATGAATGAAAACCAGCAATTGGACATCCCTCTCTCAATCCATGATCGTTGGCTTCTAACTGCTTGCCTGCCTGCCTGATCACCCCTACCTGCTCCCCCTGCTGGCCTGGTCACCCCCAATTGCCTCCCCCCCCCCCCAACTCGCCAGCCTAGTCTCCCCCAACGGACACCCCTGCCAACATGGTCACCCCACGAAGCCTGCTGCTCAGTCGTTTGATAATTCCTCACTAACCTCCCTGCCAGCTTGGTTGCCCTCAACAGCCTTCTATTCAGTCGTTTGGTCATCCCTCACTAATCCTCTTGCCAGCCTGGTCACCCTATGCAGCCTGCTGTTCGGTTGTCCATCTGTTGTTTCGGTCATGTCAGCCCCTGGTTTTTTATATATTAGAATTAGTACAGTGTTACAGTTACTTATAGGTAAGGGACAGAAAGTCTCATTTATATAATGTCCTATAACTGAAATGAGCTGATAATCAAGGCTTTCTAAGCCTATTTGATAATTCAGATACATCATAAATGAGTTATGTCTACTTCTGGATGTCTGAACCAGGAAAAGGATTTAAAGATATGGGCCATCCAAAGAAGGAATAAGTATCCAACAGATTATTCTCAAACTGAGAGAAATAATATGGTTTCTGCCATCTTAAGATAAAGGGTTAGGAAGGAAATAGGCAAATAAAATGCTTATCTAGTGTACTGTCACTCATTTAAAACATAAACATTATTGTAACAGATACTTAAGTTTCTCAAACCTGATCAGACTACTCTGTATTTCTATAATTAGCTCTACTTTTTTCCCCATAAATAATTACTAACGTCCATATTGAAATATTAGCCAACCTCACAGAAGTATTAAGTCAGGAAAAGTGAATTTTTTTTTAACTAATAAGAAAAAAAGCCAACTTTAGAAGAGTATCATTTAATTTGTGCAGGAGAGTTGTTTCAATATTAATAAAACAAAGGGTTGTACCTCTAGAAAATATCACAACCTGTTCAAAGTTTTTAAAACCCATCAGACTTTGGAATCAGTATGAGTTACTTCAGTTAAAATTCAGTGGACTGAATATGAAAATTGTTCTGGAGTAACAGAATAACTTTTTGAGAAGTTAAAAGACAAGGAAAGGGGAAAGAATTGAGGTGAATTCTAAATATTAAACAGTACAGTAAAAAGTGATTATGACACTCTCCATTTCTTTATTCACTGATCTAGCTGTTGAAAGCTACTGTAATAGGTAAATTAATGATTAAGAGATGGAGATGAGAGTTAAAGAGTATCCATTTCTTCAAAATTTTACAAACTTAACATGCAGTGCTCACTGGATGCTAGGCATTGTACTTATTTGCAAAAAGGACAGAACTTGAATTCAAACCCTGAGCTCTAACTCTAGATCCAAAGCATTTAAGTGGTGGATTAGAGTGGGATTGATTTTGTGATTGAATAAATAACCCATGATACAGTTTTAATCTCTCCACAAAAGCACAACTACTATTTAAGTAGTTGCCAATTTCTGGCTTACGACATCTACTACACAAAGAGCAATTAATTTATCTCTCAACAAGAGTTCAAAATTTCAACCACACTCTCCAAGTTATCCTCAAGGCAATCCAAATTTTTTAGACATAGTCTTTAGATACACAAAGTACTTTTAGATCTGATAAAAGTAGGATGAGATTTTTTTTTGTTGTTGCTTTAGTAAGAACTGCTGATACTTGATTGCCAGTTGTCCCTACATTTCCCCACTTCACAAAACTTCCAAAATGAACACAAACCCTTACCTTCTTGGCAGACATACCTATTTTGCAAGTAACAGTAACAAAACCAAAAACTTGCTAGACAAAATAGTCACATAAAACTTTCTACACAAAAATTTGCCTCATACAAAATACTTCTGCCTTGTATACTATGAAAATACTAGCCTCAGAATCTAAAATTCAGAGAAAAAGAAACCTGAGCATTGACATCTAATTATTTACCAAAAGCCACCACTTCAAGTTACTGGGACCTAACACATTGTCATTCTCTAAAACAGCATAAGATACAGGTTTTAACTTGATATATATATACACACACATATATATACACATATATTTATATACGTATATCTATACTAATAAAAGGGAAATATGCTAATTAGACTGGGAGACCTTCCAGGAGACCTTCCGGATGTTCTTCTGGACAAAGCCATGGTGGCAGGACTGAGGTAGAAGCGGTTAGAGGCCAAGAGGAGAGGGCAGTTGTGGGTAATCAGGCCTGGACGGGATGGCAGTTGTTGGTGGGGAGGGAGGCAGTTGGGTGAGCAGACCAGCAGAGGGGCCAGTTGGGGGCAGCAGGCCGTCATTGGGGGTCAGTTGGAGGTGATCAGGACAGCGGGGGGGGGGGGCAGTTTGGAGTGAGCAGGCCAGCATGGGGGCAGTTGGAAGCAAGCAGGTCATTGGAGACGGGAGGGGAGAGCCATCAGGGGGAGCAGCTGGGGGTGACCAGGCAGTTGGGGGTGAAATGGCAAGGGGAGGGCACATTTGGGGAGCAAGCAGAATGGCAGGTAGAGTGGTTAGGGGCAATCAGTCAGTAAGGCAGGTGAGCAGTTAGGAGCCAGCAGTCCCAATTGTAAGAGGGATGTCCAACTGCCTGTTTAGGCCCGATCCCTGTAAACCAGCAGTAGGACATCCTTCGAGGGGTCCCAGATTAGAGAGGGTGCAGGCTGGGCTGAGGGACAACCCACCCCTGCTCACGAATTTTGTGCACCAGGCCACTAGTATATGTGTTCTTAATATTTTTCTGTTCGTAAATAATGCTTCCAGTATTTATGTGTGTGTGTATATCTATCTATCTTAGGGGCCTGGTGTGTGTGTGTGTGTGTGTGTGTATCTATCTTAGGAGCCTGATGCACAAAATTAGAACAAGAGAAGGCCTTCCTCCCTGTCAGCTGCTAGCAATGACTTCCCTCTGGCACCTGGGACCCAGGCTCCCCTTAGGTTGTCAGCAGGCACTCAGGACCCAGGCTTCCCTCGCAGCCCTTTGTCCAGAAGGCCATCCATTCTAATTAGCATATTATGCTTTACACACACTCACACACACATATGTATATAAACATGCACATATGTGTATATACATATCGACACACATACACATGTGCACGAATTCGTGCATGGGTGGGGTCCAGCTGGCCCCGTCCCCTGGTTGAACACCAGGACACGGGGACAATTTGCATATTAGCCTTTTATTATATAGGATATATAATTTATTATATAGGACATATCTGTGTGTGTGTGTGTATATATATATATATATATATATATATATATAGAGAGAGAGAGAGAGAGAGAGAGAGAGAGAGGGGGGGGGGGGGGGAGAGACTTAACCAGTCACACTTCAGTTAAGTAGATTCCTGTCAGATACAATAAATGAACAATACTTTAAAAATTAGAAAAAATAATGAAACAAATGAGCAATTGGCCCAATATAGAAGAATCAATTTTAATAACCTAATCTGCATAGCCAGAATGAAGTCTCCTTTAAAAAGTGTTAAAGAAAGGAAAAGTGAACATTAGCTTCCCTTCATAATTCAGTTAAGACTACATTCAATATACATACTTGGTTTGGTAAAACTCTTTAAAGAGAAATGACCTAATGACCTCATTTAATTATTCACCAGGCTGACATCTTAGAACACTTTCTTTCCACATTCTTCAAGCTGCATTTATAATTTGGGTCTCTACCAGCATCAAGATTTTGCATATACTATACTCTGTATATTGTGTATCATTCCTCTTTCTGTTACCTTATGAGAGAGAGAAAGAGAGAGAGCTCGCAAACTTAAAAAACTGCAATAAATTGGCATCAAATAACCTGCTTTTCCATTATTAGGTTTCTAAATAAAGTCAAAATGTTCCACTTAACCCAAATCTGCCATTATCTAAGCAGGTTTTATCTATTCTAATAATTCTTAACTAAATAAAAGTCACTTTTAAATGGGAACAAATAATCAGGCTGAAGTTCATTCTATTTTCTATTAGGTTGTGAGACAATAATCAGTGTAATGTACATTAGAGGTTAGAATGACCAACTCTTACCTTTGTCTGTTGTTATTTTTTCTATACATCTGAAAGAAAAAAAAAATTAAATGAACAATCTTGCACACTTTCTTAAAGCACAAATATTTATCTCTTTCAGATTCTTCTACAGTGATGCAGAATTATTAGCTAAAATACAAAAAACGATGAGCTTAATTTTTAGAGTACTGATATAAAACCTTTCTTCAACTTTAGTTTATAATATATTTTCTTAGCCTTTAGATTTTTATTTATTCTCTTGAGCGCATTTACTGAAAACTTATTTCCCTTCACAAAATTTCCTACTCTTTTCATTAACTTCTGAACATTTCAATGCAAATGGAGTTTTTATAAATTTAAGAAAGTTTATGAAATCTGTAACCTAACTATCATCTAACTATAAGTCTCATTTCACAAATCATAAATTGTCAATTATAGATGAAAAGATTTAAAGAGGTTAAGTGACTTGCCCAAGGACACTTAGTGAGTGCAGAAAGCTGGAACTTGAAACTTTCTAAGTCCAATGCTTCTGCCACTAGTATATTATTTTGCCTTCTAATAGGAAAAGAGGTTTCAATCAATCCAATTTGCTGCATTTATTGACCTTTCAAGCTGTTGCACATTTTGCTGTCTCTTCAATTAAGAGAAAGAAATGTAGGTAAACCAGTTTATAGGGGGCAATGCTGAGATATGGAAAAAAAAGACCTGAATAAAAAAATTAAGAGAAAGATTACATTTCTTACTTCATTTTTAAAAAATGTGTCTTGTTATTAGGAAAACAGAGATGAATCAAGGTCAGAAGGCAGTTGACCAGGGTTTAGAAAAACTGAAACTCAAAACCGCTTGAAATGTCTTTTAAAAGATTAAACTTCCTACTTAATTAGTTTTGAAATTTATTTCATCACTCTGAAAATCTGTAATTCAGACATACACCTCCACTATTCAATGAATCTTCCCTTATCCCACAAGGTCCTCGTTAAGCCTCACCCAAGGATATTTTACCACTGATTTTTTTAGAGAGAGTGAAAGGGAGGGGGAGAGACACAGAGAAACATCATTGTGAGAGACACACAATGGAGCCTAGGGATGGAGCCTGCAATAAAGGCACATGCCCTTGACAGCAATCAAATCTAGGACTCTTCAGCCAGCAGGTCGATGTTCTATCCATTGAGTCTAATGGACTAGAGTTCATTATCTTTATAAACTCTAGCTCAACACACCATAGGGCCTAGTTACCACTCAATCAAGGTTTACCAAGCTCCTTTGATTTCCAGGACTTGCAGCAAATTGAAAATGTATAACAAAAAAAAAAAAATTATGGAAGGTACACTAAGAGAATTAAGACTATTCCTCCCCACAGAAATATTGTGAAGGAGAAAAAAGATTTAATTTAATAATCTTACCCAAGTTTGAATGTTGTAACATTTATATTGTGGAAGTCAAGACTCATTTTGGGACTTTTTGGTCAAGAATCAGGGAAAATATAAACTTTCATGGTAAAGCTACCACCACTATAGCTACAATTATCTTAAATTTAAGAGATCATTTCTATAAGCAAAACTGTTGAAACGGAAGGAGGGGAAGGGTGTCAAGGAGATAGATATATTGCACTCTCAAATGGGTAGGTGAGAATAAAAGGGGATGTTAAAAAACATTTTAAGTTATTAACCTTCCTATGTATGGTAATAGGAAAAAAAAGAAAAAAGTTTAATTTTACATGAAAATACACCCCTACACACTTAATACCTTTTTCATACCATCACTATTAAAAACAATAGCTTTTAATAAATATTTACTATGTAACAGACTTTGTGCTGTCAGTGATTTTCAACCCATATACAGCAAGAATTTTTAAAACATGCAATACCAGACTAGTCAGAGGCACTGACCTCTTTTTCCCTTAGATTATTAAATAAAATAATGACAACAGCCAACACAACAATAGTTGTCCAATGTGAATCAAAATTATACCTATTTGGTCAAATTGGCAAAAAATATATTATTGGTGTGCTGTGGAATTTTAGTATTTAACTTTCGTGTACCATGAGATATAAAAAAGGTTGAAAATAGCTGTGCTAAGTGTTACACACGCTGCATTTAATTCTCATAAACTAATCTCATAGGGATTAACATATCCTATAGATGAGGAAAACGAGGCACAGGCTGTTTAAGAAATTTGCGCAAGAAAATGAGATCCAAATAAGGCTCACAATAACTTAACTCTTATTTTGGAACAGGTGTGGTTTTAAGTCAACTGGGTCTGGTATAAACCACATCTTGCCACACTCTATCAGCAAAGTGGGGGATTTAAAACTGATTCCTTCCACTCTTCAACTAACCCCTGCTTTATACCTACTTTTTTCACTTGAAAATCAAAAGGCACAAATGATGTTATCAGTCACGAATTCGATGGCTAGTGTGATTAACTTCTAGAATTTACGAATGTGTGCTTCAGCGTTTGCAACACAGGAAGGTTATTTTAATAAACAGCTTTTAAATATTTGTGTTCCTGGTTCCTCTATTATCTCTTGGAAATGAATTCCTTTTAGATTAGTCTCCTTTTTAAGGATGAAGTTCCTACATTAAAACGTATGCAAAAAAAACTCAAAAAACAATAAAACGTTACTTGGCAAAAAAAAAAAAAAAAAAAAAAAAATTACCCATTTAAGTTTGCTACACTTAACAAAACTGGCAAAGTCACTTTTTTCTTTTTTTTTCCTGCTAGTCAGCACCAGATTTCCAAAACGTGTACATACAAAGTAATGTGAAAACTTAGTAGTGAGAAAAAAAGCTCCATAGCGAGCTACTAGTTCAACCGGCTCCTAAAATAATTAAAGTGAAGGGGAGTGGGGGGGGGGGGGAGGGTATCGACCCGCTTTAGAAGGCAAGATAGCGCTGTGGGTTTCCTAATGGGGGAAGTGATGTAATACTGGCGAGCCGCGCAAGGAGGGAAAGCGATAGGCTGACAAAGGGATGCAGATGCCGGAGTGCGGGATAAGCCTGCGACGGCAGGGAACGGGTGAGTCACGAGGGGGTGGAAGAGGGATAGGCTACAAAGAACGATTTCACGGAGCGGGGAGGTGGCCGGGCGGACGCGGGAACGAGGAATGTTAAGACAGCCGCCAGGGAAGCGGAGTGACATCTGTCGGGCGCGCCGGCAGGGGGCAGAGCGGGCAGGATGTCACGTGGAGTGGGCGCTACGGGAGCCGAGAGGGGAGCGTGCGGACACAGGGGGGTCTACCTCACCGCCTGGAAGACGGCGTTACTCACAGGAGTCGCGGACTCTTCTTGCCCTGAGCTGGAGACGCGGGCTTCGCGGCCTGGTGGGACTGCAGCCCGGTGGCGTCCGGGGGCCTGGCGCTGGGGCTGCTCCTCCGCCGGCGGGGATACTCGGCCTTCCTCCGACGGGACACAGCGGCGGCGGCAGCGGCGGCCGCCGCCGCAGCGGCCCGGCCCCGGTCCCGTCCTCCCCTCAGCACGCGGCTGCTAGTGGTCCCCGCAGGCGCCGCCGCCTCCGCCTCCGCCACCACCTCCACCTCCAGGGGATGTTGTTGGAGCTCTTCTGGAGCCGCCTCGGCCACCACCGCCTCTCCCCCTTCCTGGTCCTGCAGCTCCGGGGGTCTCGGCTCTTCTGTCTCCCCCGGCATCGGGGCTCGCCCGTCCCCCACCCCCTCGACCCGGGCGGTGGAGGCGGCGGTGGCCGCGGCGCTGCTCGCCCCCCCGCCCCCTGCCTCCTGGAGCGTCCTGCACTCTCTCACTCTGCGCTCCTCTCTCCCCCCCCCACCCCTCCGCCCGGCTCAGAGAGTACCCCCCGCCCCCTGCCACTCAAGGCCCGCTACCCCAGGCGCCGCGCGCGCGCCCGACAAAACGCTCCGCGAGCCAATCGGAGAGGGAGAATGGCTTCTTCGCCCCGCCCCCTCTCACGCAGCGACGTACCGGGTTCCCTCCCCCACTCCTTCCTCCAACCAATCAGGGGACAGCTCCAAGGGAGCGCGCGAGGTTTCCTTCCCCGCGCACCCGTTCTCACCGTTAAACGGCCGCGTCCTGTGACAATCCCAGTGACCTTTCACTCTCTCCGGAGTTCCACGCGCACTAGGGGTAGTGGGAGGGGCCGGTTTCGCGAAGAGGTTGGTGGGGGGGAAAAAAAGCACCTCTTACCCCGCCTGGCGCGCTCCCTGGAGTGGCTGCGCGCGCACCTGCCTCCCTAAGGATCCGCTAAGGCCACAAGGGCTCTTCCTATCCTTCCTTAAAGCCACTTCTACTCCGGCGTTCTTCTACCTCCACCCAGACCCCACTTTCCTGTATGTGGCCTTCCTGTCCCCAGCGTTGCCAAGTCTTGAGGGAGAAGGGGGGAAATTTTTTGAGCTGTCGCTTCTCCTTTAAGAAAAAAAGCCCCGTCGCTGCCGGATGAAAGTCTCTGAAAAAATGGCGGCGGTAGAACAGAGGCGGGGTCTTGAGGGCTTGGAGGAGCCGCCTCTTCGACGCATGCGCATAGCCAACTTGCTCAAACGCATTCTGGGAGTTGTAGTCCTACTAAGCCTATGGGGAGGGCGGGGGAGGTAGGAAACCAAAGGCGAAATGGTTGCCGGGAGTTTTTGACTGATGCAGGATGGGGAAAGTAGTTTAGTATTTCCACTGTCCAAGTGCACTTTTCCTGGGAGGCAGTGTTTCCGGGTTAAAGCGCGACGCCTAAGCAGATCCTGGCGCAAATTTTGAGCCAGTTCCCTGCTTGTTTTCTTGGAGTTGGGAAAGCATTTCTCGGGGAGTCACGTAATAGCTTTTAACCTTGGTTTTGGTTAGATGGCTTCTCCGGCCCGCGTTCATGTCGGCAATATTCGTCTTGTCATCCTGTGTCTGACCCACCAACCTGTGAGCCCCTGGAGGTCAGGGACTGAATCTGGTTCTGCCGGATCCTCGGGGGGTTACCCATCAGTTATTTGATTACTAATAAAAGTTTGTGGAAATCTCTGGAGTTGCGTTTCTACTAGGGATTACGACTACTGCTTCACTTGGCTGTGGCCACTAGGCTGGAGGGAAGTTGGTAGCGTGTCCTGTCACCAACCCGGAGAAGCTTGAAGGCCTCGCTCAGGCTCCCTACTCTGAAGCCAACTGCTTCTGCGGTTTTTAAGTGTTTCTGCTGCGCAGGAAGCACAGTCAGATTAGCCCCTTTATCAGAATTTCTTTTCTGCCCAATAACATGTGCAATTAAATTGTCCTAATCCCATAAACGGGAGTTTCCATTTACTTATCTACAAAATGATGGGAGTGTGCCTCTCATATTCCTTTCTTCCTTTCATCCATTTATAACCAAGGGCCACTTTCTTACTACTGGAAAATAAAGCATCCGGGGGTAAAATGCCTAAAGAAAGCGGATGGAAACAAGATCTGGGGAATCCAATTTAAATTTCACATTAATCATTCATTCAGTTACAGCTGCAGACACAGTACAATATATGCAAGCCAAGTGCTGACGTGCAATTTTCCTTCCAGTTCTTTGGCTCAGCTATTCAGATTTGGCAAATGCTTTCTATTTTCTAATGAGCATTTTGCACTTTCGTGGGGCTAATGGTATTTCAGTTGTAAAAACTGGCATAGATGGATGGGAATTTTTGCAAATCCGTTTTTAAGGTATGCAGGCTTTTGGAACAGCACTGACATCCAATGGCTGCTCAAAGTAATGCAGAGTGGGAATCTTAAAAAAAAAAAAAAAAAAAAAAAAAAAAATCTTCAGCGACTCCAGGGAATGGACAGTGAACAATTCCTTTAGATCATCTGAAAAAAAGAAGGACCACTGTGTTACAGAGGAAAGTTCACAGGCCTTGAAGTTAAATATAGATTACATTAGGTAGAAAAGCTACCTATTAACTACCTTAGCAAGTTACTGTTACTTGAATCTCCACTGGTAAAAATAGGAGTAATACCTATTTCACCAGGCCATAGTAATTATAGTTCTTCCCATAATAGGCCTTTGTAAATGTTTTATTTTGTTCAAGGTGAATAAAACCGGTGGTTTAAAAAAAAAGTAAAAGTTAATCTCAGCGTCACTGTTCAGAAAACTGCTGTAAAGCAATGTAAATAGGCAGGAATTATGCTTAATTAAGATATTTGCAACTTAGCACCTTGTGTCTTAAACAGTCCAGTCTCATTCTTCATGACTCCTTTGGTTGTCTGCATTTTGGATCCTTGAAATAAACCAAGCCCTGAAAACCTAAAAGTGAATACACTTCTGCTGAATTCAATAGGCTTACAATCTATTCAGGAAATTAGGTAAGCAAAATGTCTGGATAATTAAATAAAGATAGCAAAATGAATCGGGTGCTGCCTATGAAGCAAACTATGCCTCCACGGTTCCCCAGCTTCATGTGGGGTAGGGTGGGGGAAAGTTTCCTGATGCATCTAGTTGCAGTGTGATACCTACATTGGGGAAAAACGCAAGTGCAAATCTGCCATTCCCATGAATTCTGGCATGTAGTAGGCGCTCACATGTTTCAAAATTACTTTTGAATCTTAATTGCCCCAGCCCAGTGGTCAGCAAACTCATTAGTCAGGAGAGCCAAATATCAACAGTACAATGATTGAAATTTCTTTTGAGAGCCACATGTTTTAAACTTCAACTATTATAGGTAGGTACATTGCTATTAACTTAATTAGGGTACGTGGTATTTTGTGGAAGATCCACACTCAAGGGGCCAAAGAGCTGCATGTGGCTCGCAAGCCGCTGTTTGCTGCCACTGCCCTAGCTGGTGTACCACAAGAATTCAAGTTTTACTACCTGCCTTTCTAGGTCCCATTTTAAAAACTCTGACCTATAAAAAAAAAAAAAAAAAAGAAAAAAAAGAAACTCACCAAATCAAAAGAGAGGAAGTGCTAAGCAGATACAGGAACCAAAAAGGGTTATTGAAGCTGCTTCACGCTGTCTCGTTCAGTTCCTTTGCGGTCCTCCTCTTCAGCACAGACCAAAGCAGTTCCTCACAACCTGTGGCCACCAGAGCATCTTGGGTGTGTGACCATGGAAGAGTTGGGTGAGTGAGGAGCTTCCTGGTAGAGAAACTCTGAGGGAATAAAGCCCTGGCTGCCATCTCCATGTGTGGTGGGGTGTACTACTTAGCCAGATGGAGGGCAGTGCAGGAAGATTTTATTTTCACTTCTCTCCTGACCTCACTAAATTTAAAGCACGAGGAACTATGATTGGGGAAATAGGAGTTCACTGTTTCGGCGGCACGAAAGGCAGAGAGTTTGGTGCTAACCACAGAGTAAACTCCACACAAATACTTTTGGATTGAATTGTGATTAAAATGGTCAGTTTATTATAAGCATTTGCCCTTTGAGAGCTACTGGAGATCATAGAGTGATCACATGGTAGGCAACGGTAGAGGTGTGATTTGAGAAGAAAAAGAAATGAGTGTTATTAGGGGAAGAAACAGAAGTACAAAAATGAGGGATTCACAAAGGTTGGAGAAAGGCCAGGGTGGTTTCAATTGTTCTAGGATTTAGTATTAAATCAAGACAGCATAGCACTAATAACTCCAGGGTTTTTATTGCTCAGCTTTTTATTCAGAGGTACTCTGAAGGAACAGATTACTGTGGCCTGCAAGTATAATGCCTCCTTGCATTCCAAAGCAATTAAAAACAGAAGTGAAATTATTGGCCACGTTGCTCAAGAGAGATCTCTGATTTCAAGCCTTTAGAGTAACATAAGATTTATCATTCTTGGGAATGTATTCCATATCCTTTGCCAACGTTTGTTGCCGACATCCTTAACACACTGAGTCACTAATCCAATTTCCAAGCTGTATTAATTACAGTGTCCTGGGTTTTTGTATATTTGGGGCATGTCAAAAGTGCAAACAATGACCAAAAACGTATTTTACATATTGTCTTTTTAAAAAATTGTTTATTGTGTACTTTGAGAGTTGGAAGAGTAGAAGAAGGAAGGCAAATTACAGAAGGGAAGAGGAAAAGGTGGTATTTGATAAATATGTATTAAACTATTTGGAGGTAAAGTCTATTTTGACACGGGGTAGAATCCAAATTCTTATTTTATGTTAGAATTGGGGAATTTTATATTTCTACCTGAGTTCCCCTAGAAATAGAGTTCAGCTCTGCTTTTTTATGTTGGTAATTTAAAAAGCAAGTAATACTTTTGGTGGTCACTTAAACTAGACATTTTTTCATATGTTAACCATTTTAGTGTCTGAAGCAATCCACTAAAATGGGTATTATCCACGTTTTTTTTACATGAGAAAACTAATAAAAGCAAAATAACTAGTTCAATGTCACTCTCAGGAGCACCTGACACCAAAACGGATTAAGCTACAAGATATTCTCTCCTATTTTAGAAACATATTGGTTCAGATGTTTTGGCTGATAGACTAATCCAGGTAACAAAAAAAAAAAAAAAAAAACCAACGAAATAAATAGATTTGCACAGCTTTGCATTTCTTGAGCAGGAAAAATGGTAGAGAAAGCTTCCTGCTTGAGAGAGGTAGCATGGGGGGCAGGTCGACACAGGTAGGCCTGTATTTCCTCTTTGCGTCCTTCTTACATGGGGATACTAGATAAAGGGAAACCAAGAGCAGACTCTGCTCTGAATGAAATCACTACAACCCAATGAGACCCCCAAAGAGACCTTGCTTCACAAATCTTTTCATGTTAATACTGATGACTATTTGATTTCTGCAGATGAAGAGCTACCGAGAAGGTCTGTAGGATTTTCAGTCTAGTATTCCCCACCACCAGTCATCCCATATTTGTCATACTGAAATTAGTCATCTTCAAATTACAGAATCTGCAAAAGGCAAGATGGTCTTTGTGTGTTGGTGATACGTGCACTCAGGAAACAGGAAGAGAAGGGCCTGTCAACTCCTGACCCAGAAAGAGAGTTGCAATAACTTTAGGGAGCTGGTCCTTCTAAGGGTAACCTTCTACCCTTAGTGGTATAATTTGTTTCTCTTGTAAAGGGTTTCCCCTCTCTCCTAATCTTTATTGTAAATGCCTTTTTATTTTTAATCCTAGAGGACCCATGACTTCTAGTTAGAGAAAAGGTTAGAAATAGAAAAGAAAAGGGCTATATCTTGATGGATGTAGACTAAAAATTTGGAACTCAAAAATTTGGCATTCAAGTCTGGCTAGTAAAGTTGTGAGAAAGGAAGTTTTGCTTTTTCTTTCTACCTCAGTTTTTGTTTTATTTTTTCTTCTTTAAAAAATCTTTTTAATATAGATAATTTAAGAATATGCAAAAGTAAAGAAAATAATTTAATAAAATCTGATGTGCCCATCAACCAGTTTAAACTATCAAGTCTTGGTCAATCTTTTTTCATTTATAGACCCACCCATTCCTTTAATAACTATTATTTTAAAGCAATCTCAGATATTATATAATTTCATCTATAAATATTTTATCATACTCTCTAAAATAAATCTATACATACTTACACAAATAACCATAATACCATTATTACACCCATAAAATCTTTAATAGTAATTCCTTAATATTATGAAAAACCATTATCACACCTAAACTATTAACATAAATAATCAAATATTCTTATTATACCTAAAATAAATTAATAGTATTTACTTAATGTTATTAAATTCCAGTCAGTGTTTAATATTCCTGATTGTTTCTTTTTTGTTTGCTTATTTACTTTTACCCTCAGATTATTTTAAGTTAAGGTTCATATACTAAAATTAGTTATACGTTTCTAAAGTCTTCTTTAATCTATTGGTTCACTCTCCATCTCTTTTTTCATTAAAATTTATTGAAAATAAATTTTTCAATAAATTTCTCAGTAACATTTCTCAGTGTGAAGGGAAATTTTCCCTGAAGAATTTAGCTCAGTTTGCTTATTTCTAAAGTGGTATATAAAATTCAATCTTTTTGTGAAATGGTTGATTTAGAAATATATGATTTTTATTAAATTTATTGCAGTGACATTAGTTAATAAAATTATATAGTTTCAAATATACACTTCTGTAATACATCATCTGTGCATCGCATTGTGTGTTTACCAGCCAAAGTCAAATATCCTCTGTCCCTATATATTTGTCCCCTGTTTACCCTTTACTATTCCTACCCCCTTTTCCCTCTCGCAACCACCATGCTGTTGTCTGTATCTATGATTTTTTGTTGTTTGATTGTCTTGTTTGTTTACTTGTTGCTTTCAATTTTATGTTTCACATATGAAAGATCTATAGGTTTCATTTTTAAGAAATGATTAGATCTTTTCTTAAGCTATCAAGAAGTATTCATCCCCCTGACATCTGAAATAAATGAAACTCTTTTTTTCATAATGTGTGAAGTTCATTTTCTTCATCTGAGGACTTCCAAGGTGGGCATATACTTAGAAATAATACAATCCAGTGTTTTGCAAACTTTTTAAAAGTACAACCTGTGGTAAGGAAATCACTAGTTGTACTTTGGTTTGATCCACAGTTTGAAAAGTATGATTGTACTATAATTGCTTAATCATGTAGATGAAGAAATCGCTTCAGAAAAGAACATGTCATGCCCAGATGACCCAGAGAATCCATGTGAGAATGGGGTCTGGAATTTCTCACTTGAAGTTAGTGCAGGGGTTGGGGATCAGATAGCCCAGGATCAGACAGCTAGGTCTGAACTCAGTAACAGTATGAACTCAAACAATTTATTTGGTAATTTCTTGAACTACAAAATGAGCACAATAATATCATCTGCTTCAAAGATAACTAAATTAAATATATAATCCTTAATTTTTATTCTTTGTTATTAATTTCATCATAACAGAAAGGTAATATTGTAATACTTTAAGTCAGAGTCCATTGTTTGTTCTTAAGAAAATATAAGAGAAACAATTAACTATATGGACTGTAAAATCTTGCTTGATTTTATAACTGTGTGTTTTCTCCCGCACCCCCCCCCCCCCCCCCCCCGCCGCCAATTTCCTTTTCTCCCTATATCCTAAAAGGACAGAATACTTATACTCTCCTTTGAGAATTTGATTATGTGCTTGGGATATAAGAAAAAAATAACATCAAAGTTAAGAATAAATGTTACCATCCTGGTATATTTTTAAAAACTGTAATATAATTGCTTCTATTTTTCTGATAGGAAAAACATGTAGAATTTACTTTTTTTCTAACTGGGAATCTTTATGAGTGATTCATTCCAAATAAATGACAAACATTAATACACTGCAATAAAATAAGCCACATTATAGAGTGCGACTATGAAATTGAATACAGCCATAGGAAATAAGAAGTAGGTCACAGGATATGGAGGCTTTAAACATCTTTTAGTAGAATAGACCACATTCTAGAAGTAAAATAAGGAGTAAGGGAAGATATTTTAAGGAAAATAGCCTTAACCTAAGAGAAGAGGGAGATGAATGGGGGCAAAGGGGAGCTATATAAGACGGAAATTATTCCAGAAGACTTCCATATTCTATACTATGATTCCTTTTTGTGTTATGATATAGATGCTTTATTAGAGGAATTGGAACGCTCCACCCTTGAGGACACTGGTGAATACTCCAGCCCCACTCCTCTTCCCAAGGATCAGATTTCCAGAAAAGAGAGTGCTGAGACTTCAGACATCTCTTCTGTTCAGGACACAAGCCCCTTCCAGGTAACTTTGCATTTATTGGAGTGCCTTGAATGCAGGTGTTTGAGCGCTTTCTGAATATGAATTGTTTCCTACACAAAATAATGTGAAAGAACAATCGTATATATCCAAGAAAGAGAAGAAAATCCCTCTATGATAACATAAAGGTGCACTCCCTGATGTTCCTTCTACCTGGACCAGGTTACTCCTGATATCTTCAAACCTTTCTCACCTTCTCCTATCAGTCCTGGCTCAAGAGTCCCCTTCTCAATTAATCCTTCCCAGATCAATTTATTTATTTATTTTTTAAAAAATTTCAGTTACAGTTGACATTCAATATTATATTAGTTTCGGGTATACAGCATAGTGGTAAGACAATTTTATAACTTTTGAAGTGATCCCCCCACTTACGTATCCAGCTGGCACCATATATTGTTATTACTATAGTATTGACTGTATTCCCTATGCTGTATTTTACATCCCCATGACTATTTTGTACTTTCAATTTGTATTTCTTTTTCTTTTAGGTTTTTAATTTTTTTCAATTACAGTTTATATTCAATATTATTTTGTATTACTTTAGAGTGTACAGCAGAGTGGTTAGACAATCATATACTTTACAAAGTGTTCCCCCTGATATTTCCAGTTCCCACCTAGCACCACATATAGTTATTACAATATTATTGACTAGATTTCCTATGCTGGACTTTACATCCACATGGCTGTTTTCTAACTAGCAATCTGTACTTCTCAATCTTTTCACCTTTTTTTTACCCAGTCCCCCAACACCCCTTGCTTTTGGCAACCATCAGTCTGTTCTCTGTATTTAGAAGTCTGTTTCTATATATTGTTCACCTCTTTTGTTCTTTCAATTCCACATATAAGTGAAATATATGGTATTTGTCTTTCTCTAACTAACTTATTTCACTTAGCATAATACCCTTTAAGTCCATTCATGCTGGCCAAATAATATTCCATTGTGTATATGTAACACCACATTTTTTAAAAATATATTTTATTGATTTTTCACAGAGAGGAAGAGAGAGAGATAGAGAGCTAGAAACTTCGATGAGAGAGAAACATCGACCAACTGCCTCTTGCACACCCCTACCGGGGATGTGCCCGCAACCAATGTACCTGCCCTTGACCGGAATCGAACCTGGGAACCCTTCAGTCCGCAGACCGACACTCTACCACTGAGCCAAACCGGCTTCGGCAATGTAACACCACATTTTTATCCTCTCAGCTATTGGTGGGCTATCCTATATGATAAAGAGATAATATGCAAATTGACAATCAATGCAACACATAAGATGGCCGCCCCCATGTGGACATAAGATGGCCAGCAGGGGAGGGCACTTGGGAAGGACTTGGTCTGCAAGAGAAGGCAATTGGGGGTTATCAAGTCTGCAAGGAAGGGCCGTTGGGAGGGACCAGGCCTGCAGGGTAGGGCAGTTGGGGGCAACCAGGCCAGCAGGGGAGGGCAGTTAGGGGAATTCGGGCTGGCAGGGGAGTGGTTAGGAGGCTGACAGGCAGAAGTGGTTAGGGGCAATCATGCAGGCAAGCAGGCAAGTGGTTGGGAGCCAGCAGTCCTGGATTGTCAGAGGGATGTCTGACTGCCCATTTAGGCCCTATCCCACCAGACATTCGCCAAGGGATGGGTCCCAGATTGGAGAGAGTGCAGGCTGGGCTGAGGGACATACTTCCCCATGCACAAATTCTGTGCACTGGGCCTTTAGGTACAAATAATGCTGCAATAAACATAGGAGTACATATATTCTTTTGAATTAGTGGTTTGGATTTCTTAAGAAATATACTCAACGTGAAATCATTGGGTCATAAGGCAGTTTCATTTTGAATTTTTTGAGGAACTTTTATTCTGTTTTCTACACTGGCTAAACTAATCTGCATTCCCAGAGGGTTCCCTTTTTTCTCTATGTCCTCATCAAAACTTCTTGTTTGTTGATTTATTGATGATAGTCATTCTGACAGATATGAGGTGATACCTCATTGTGGTTTTAATTTTCATTTTTCTGATAATTAGTGCCATTGAGCATCTTTTCATATATCTATTGGCCATCTATGTGTCCTTGTTGGAGAGATATCTATTCAGTCCATTGCCCATTTTTAAAATTGGAATGTTTGTATTTTTGTTGAGTTATATGTGTTGTTTATCAATTTTGAATATTAACACCTTTATTAGATGTATCATTGGCTAATACATTCTTCCATTCAATGGTGTTCTTATCATTTTGTTGATGATTTCCTTTGCTGTACAAACATTTTTTAATTTGATGTCGTCCAATTTAGTTTTTCTTTTGTTTCCCTTGCCTGGGGAGATAGATCAGAAAAAAATATTAGTAAGAGAAATGTTAGAGATTTTATCGCCTATGTTTTCTTCTAGGTTATTTATGGTATTTAGTCCATTTGTATTTCTTGAGCTCTTCACCTTTTTTATACATCCCCTTAGTACTCCTCCCATCTGGCAAACATCAGTTTGTTCTATATATCTGTGAGTCTGTTTTTGTTTTGTTTGTTTATTTATTTTTATTTTTTTTAAGATTTATTTTTTTATTTTTTAATATATTTTTATTGTTTTTTTTACAGAGAGGAAGAGAGAGGGATAGAGAGTTAGAAACATTGGTGAGAGAGAATCATCGATCAGCTGTTTCCTGCACACCCCACACTGGGGATGTGCCTGCAACCAAGGTACATGCCCCCGACTGGAATCGAACCCGAAACCCTTCAGTCCGCAGACTGATGCTCTATCCACTGAGCCAAACTGGTTTCAGCTGTTTATTTTGTTTTTTAGATTCCACATTTGAGTAAAATCATATGGTATTTGTCTTCCTCTGTCTGACTTATTTCACTTAGCAAATTATTCTCTAGGTCCATCTGTGTTGTTGTAAACAGTAAGATTTAATTCTTTTTTATGGTGATGAATATATTTATAATTGTCATTTATTCTGTATTTCCTATCTCCCACTCCCAGTTGATATTACATATTATATATTACATTAATTTATTTTTAGATATTAATTTTTTATCTGTTTATCACAATTAAATCAAAGGTAGACAATTTTTGTTTATTTATTTATTTATTTATTTTTAAAAGATCTTTTTATTGATTTTTACTGAGAGGAAGAGAGAGATAGAGAGTTAGAAACATCGATGAGAGAGAATCATCTATCAGCTGCCTCTTGCACACCCTTTACTGGGGATGTGCCCACAACCAAGGTACATGCCCTTTTCTGGAATCGAACCCAGGACCTTTCAATCTGCAGGCTGATGCTCTATCCACTGAGCCAAACCAGTTTCGGCTGTTTATTTATTTTTTGTTGCTTTGTTTTTTGATGGCTACATCTCCAGCCCTGACATATGACAGGCTCTCAATAAATATTTGTTCAACAAATAAATGGGCCAACTACCTTTTAGAGTCACACATTATTTCTTTTGGTATGCTAATTTTACTCATGTTATGGTCTACAAAGGGGCTTTGCTTATTTTGTTGTCTTATTATTTTTGTCTGAGGACTTTTCTACTTCAGTGCTTTTAGGGAAGGGAGAAGGGCACTATTTATTTACATGGCAGCTATTCTACTTAGAATCTGGCCTTTCTCTGTGGGATGGCTGGTATTCCTCTGCCTTGTAAAAGCACTTACAGTTAGAATATCTCAGAGACATACTAATCAACAGTCTCCTTTAGAAGCTAAAAACATTCTTTAATTCTGGCTGTAGATAAGTACCAACATTTCACTAACAGAAATCCATTCTATAACTCTGTCTTAGGTGCAGCTCGTGTATACTACTAATATCAAGGAGCCCCAGGTCTACAGGTATTTTTTAAATATTAAATTATTGAGCAAAGTTATTAGATAATTGTTATCAATCTGTGTTTGGACAATGCTTTGCTTGGAACTCCTACTGCTCTCCTTTTCTTTCCATAGTTTTTGAGCAAAGGTGGAATGGTTTCTGCTGTTTCCTTCACCACCTGAAAAAATGCAAATAATTCTAATCATCACAGATGCTTTGGCCCAGCTATTCCAGATCACAGAAGAAAAATCAACAAATAAAATTTCAGCAAGACATTAATAAAATCAGAGCTAGGCCCGGTTTGGCTCAGTAGATAGAGCATTGGCTTGTGCACTGAAGGGTCCTGAGTTCAATTTTAATCACGACCTAGGCTGCAAATTTGATCCCTAGCATGTGCAGGAGGCGACCAACCCAATCAATGTGTCTCTAACATCAATGTTTCTCTCTGTCTCTTTCTCTCCTTCCCATTCTCTCTCAAAATCAATGGGAAAATATCTTTGGGTGAGGATTTTTTTTTAAAAAGTCAGAGCTAGTTTCAGAGTTGAACTAAGAAATTGGCTCTCCATAGCAGACAAATGAATATAGACCTCTTTTCATATTTGCTCAAAATTTATTTAGTGGGTGGAGAGATTGCCTTTTTACAAAAAGTTACAGATTGGAATAGATTCATTTACTAAATATTTTCTACTGTGCAAAGCAGAATTGGCAGTCTGTGAAAACAAAAACAAAAACAAACAAAACACACCATTTTTCTTCAGTTATAGCTTGAAATTTAAAAAGTCAGACAACGTCTGGAAAACAAAATAAAAGCCTTAAGATGTAGATAGTAAAGGCTCATGCTTGGTAAAGAATACTATGCCACACCTTATTTGGTTTCAGAATTGCAGCCAATAGTACATGATATTAAAATAAGGAAAGCACTCATGCAAAAAGTCTTTTTATAGCTTCCTACTTGAGGACACTTTCTGTTGTGATGGGAGGGAGGCCAATTTATTAATACAATTGCCAGTGTGTTGCAGTTCCAGTGGTCAAACCCCTTGTAAAAAAGCAAACAAAGCAAAACAGCAATACCAAAACAGTGCCTGGTACATAATAGTTTCACAGTAAATTTTGGATTTTTAAATCCAGGAAACCAAGACTTAAATACAAACATTAATGAACATATGATATATATATATATATATATATATATATATATATATATATCATATGTTCATATATTAATATATATATATATTGCCAGGGTCCATAACATCCAAAACAACCAAAGGCTCCACTGAACACTGGAAGTCAGTGCTGGGTCGCTGTGGGTGCCTCAGCAACCCAGCACTGACTGCCACAGGGGCTGCGATCAGACCCGGACTGACTCCCTGGGAGTCAGTGCTGGGTTGGGATGGCAGACGTCAGTCCTGCAGTCAGTGAACATAGGGTCAATTAATATCTCTTTGAGAGGAGTTGAGAATATAAAGCACAGTGTAGAACAACTACTTATATTATTTCACATAAAACTTTTCAACTAAGATATTTTCCTTTATTTGAAATGTATCTTTATTGTTAAAGTATTACAGATGTCCCTTTGTTTTAGTTTGTGTGTTTTTTTCCATTGATCTCCTCCACCCTGCACCCGCCCCTTCCAGGCCTTCGCCAGACTATTGTCTGAGTTCATGAGCTATTCCTATCTAATACATAAAAATCTAGAATGATTTAGAGAAAATAAAAGATATGCCAGGTAAATATTGAACAGAAGAGCTGAAGTTGCTGTGTGAATACTGGATACAGGCTTGAAGCCAAAATACAACTCATGAGATAAAGTTAGTCATTGTAACATAACAAAAGATTCCTTTCACTAAAGAGATAAGATGTGTCTCAGTGGTATGCATATTTTTTGAGCTAAGGCAATTTTAGCTAGAGGCTCAAGTGAAAATTCTGCCCCTCCCTTTAACTACCTAAAAAAAAAAAAAAAATTGAATTAGAAGCCTTGCCCATAATAAGACATTATCCTATATAATAAAATGTTAATATGCAAATCTACCAAACAGCAGAATGACCAGTCATTATGACATGCACTGACCACCAGGGGGCAGATGCTCAATGCAGGAGCTGTCTCATGGTGGTCAGTGTGCTCCTACAGGGGGAGTACCGCTCAGCCAGAAGCTGGGCTCATGGCTGACGAGGGCAGCAGTGGTGGTGGGAGCCTCTCCAGCCTCCGCAGCAGTGCTAAGAATGTCTGACTGATGGCTCCTAGAATGTGAGAGAGTGCAAGCCAGGCTGAGGGACCCCCCTCCTCTGAGTGTACAAATTTCGTGCACCAGGCCTCTAGTCCTATGTAATAAACTGAATGGCTGATGACTGGTAACTGTGATGCACACTGACCACCAGGGGGCAGACCAGCAATGGGAGATGGGGCCTGCTGGCGGGTAGAACCAGTCTGCCAGCCTAGGAGGGTGCCAGCAAGAGTGGGGAGAGGGGAGAATTGCCCCACCTGCCAGTCACCCCACAAATCAGCTCTGATTGCCGGCCAGGCTTAGAGACCCTACCCTATATATTGGGAACAGTCTCTTAGGTTTAAAAATTAAAACCTGGCAAGGCTACTCTAACACTGAAAAAACAGGATGATGCAGTGATGACATGCATGGACTCTGGCTTATATATTTTGTGGTCAGCCCTGATTCTAATACTTATAACTGTGTGACAAAGCCAATTACTTAACTTCTCTCTGCTTCAGTTTTTCCACCCATAAGATAGGGGAAATGGTACTACTGCCTCAGAAGGATCATGTTATGTACTACTTTTTATAATCAGGGCAAAAAATGTAGCTGCCCATACAATAGCAAAATACCTTTCACCTGTATAGCACATGCAGTGTCCCAGATTGCAAGAGGGATATCCGACTGCTGGTTGTTGGACATCCCCCAGGGGTTCCACATTGCAAGAGGGCACAGGCTGGGCTGAGGGACATCTTTCCCCTCTTCCCCCGCCCCCTCCATGCACTGGGCCTCTAGTATAACATAAAAACCAGTCCAAACAACCATTTCCTGTCTGTCTAGCACTGCAATCAATTGGTGGCACGCCATACTAACTTATCAATGACCCGTCACTAATATGAGTCTTTGGTAGATTTCTCATCAGGCCCATCCTTCTCTCTTCTCTTGGCTTTGCTGGTATTCCAGAGAAGCTGACCCCTGTGGGCTGGGTTTTGCAGGCTCCAGGCTTCAACCAATAGGAGGCACTGTGGAGAGACTGGAGGGTGAAAGGCACAGAAATTTAAAGCATTTCTCCCCCAATATCTGTCCACAATCTCCATTCTTTATGGCTTCAGATGGAGCAAAACAGGTCTGCTATGCTTCCAGCATATGTCTATTGACCCGGGTCCCTGAGCTCTGATCACCTTGCTTATTTGCTTTGTCGCTTCAGCCTAATTACTTCTTGCCGTGACTAATCTCTGAGTTCCCTCAATGTCTTCTGTTTGCTTTTGTAGCTCTCCCATCATCCATGTAATCAAATTTCTGGATTAATTCCTTCTTCTGACTCCCAATGTCTGTATTTTCCTGATTGGACCTCGATGGACATACTTTCCATTACTGAATAATACATGCTGTGTAGACCTTTATGGGAGAGTGAGACAAAATCCAAGTGACCTAGTAAATATGTAATAGAGTGATACAAATCTCTGAGGCTTGTAAATTCAGAGGAAATAAGGCTGGCATGTACAGACAGAGCATGAGATTCAGAATCTAGATTCTTGCATTCTGTGTTCACCATTTCCTTTGGTTTGCTTAAATGAAGTAAACATTGCATTGGACCTAGAAAGCATAGTCAATACCAATTATGAATATAGCACTGTAATACTATTTCTAATATAGTGATATATCAGTAGCTTTGTGACCAAAAATTTAGGAATTGCATCTTTTATGTGCACAGAAATAATTTTGGTAAGAAGAGGGAGAAACAATTCATAAAAATATTGCAGAGGAAAGGATGGGGGGGGAAAGTCCTATACAATGAAGCCTCTCCCTTGATATGTCTGGATTCTTAGAAACAAACTAGAGGCTAAGTGCAGGAATTCATGCATGGGTGGGGTCCCTCTGGGTGGCCTGCAGTCCAACACCACCTGCAGTTCCTACTGCCGTTCCCACTCATCCCAGCTTCACTGTGCCTGCTGTGGGCTTGCGCCCAATCAGTCCTGATTGGGAGAGGCTCGCCACACCAGCGCTTGCCAGCCATGAGCCCTGCATCTGGCGCCCTCCCAAAGGGAGTGGCCTGCAGGATTGGGCTGAAACCAGCTCTCTGACATCTGCAAAGCTTATGTTCTCTATCACTATGCCAAACTATCCTCCAAATGATGTTTAAAGGCTCTATTGTTTATTAAACCTATCATTTATTATTAGACACCTAGACTGTTTCTGATTTTTGCTGTTATCAATACTGCTAAATAAATAATTGATTATTTCCATAGAGTAAATTTTGAAAAGTGGAAAAACTGGATCATTCAGGCAACTGACTAAACATTAACCATGTCAGCTTAGCTAACTCTCCACTAAACTCTTTCTCTCTCCCTCTCCCTCTCTCTCTTTCATACACACACACACACACACACACACGCACGCACGCACGCACACACGTGCACGTGCACAAAACTAAATATTCTGTCTTCCACTAAATATATTTTCAATAATGAAAACATAGATTTATTATTTTACTTATTTTTATGTATTTATAAACCAGGAATAAATAAAGCAGAAGGAAATGTATCTATTCTGTCTTCCACTAAACACTCTGTTATTTGCCAGCTGTATTATGTAGAGCAAAGTTTATACCTTCTCTAAGCCCCAGTATTTTTTTCATTTGGGAGTAACAGTACATCACTGATGTAGGATTGTTATAGGATTAAAAGAGGACACATAAATCCTTTACAGAGTACCTGGCTTTGTGAAAACACTGAAATAAATGTTAGCTGTTATGGTTGCAAAGGACAGATAAGGATGTGCAGAAGAATATGGAAAAACATCTATCTTCAACAAAGGAATTTAGGGTTGAATTTGTTTTCAACTGCTTTTGAGCACTTATCAATGTTTTTATAAAGTGTTTTTCTTATACATTATTATAATGCACAAGAAGCCTGATGCATGAAATTCATGTAGGAGACCTTCTTTCCCCCAGCTGCCAGCACAGGCTTCCTTATGGTACTGGGAAATCAGACCCGGGCTCCCTTCTGTGAGGGAGGCTCTGCCCACCTGCTGTAGCCTGCCAGTGGCCTGAACTTCCCTCTTTGGGGCTATCATGCAGCCAAATTGATCACCCTGATGGCCAATGACCTGGGCCTCCCTCTGCAAAGAATATGATCAGGGGCGATAGCTGGCCCCCAACCAATTGCATTGCACCCACCTTGGTTGGCCTGGTGTGTGTCATAGTGTGGTCCCAGATGTTCATTCATATGGATGTCACTCAGCTGTTTGGCAGTTCAGTTGATTTGCATATTACCCTTTTATTATATAGGATAACATTAATCCATTTAGTAATGTGCAACCATCCTTGTATGACTAGTATAAACACTACCTAGACATGTTATTTTATTTTTTTTATATATTTTATTGATTTTTTTACAGAAAGGAAGGGAGGGGGATAGAGAGTTAGGAACATCAATGAGAGAAACATCTAGGGATGTGTCTGCAACCAAGGTACATACTCTTGACTGGAATCTAACCTGGGATCTTTCAGTCTGCAGGCCAACGCTCTACCCACTGAGCCAAATCAGTTAGGGCTAGCCATGTTATTTTTAAACACATTTCCTTTATCTTATCTCTTTTTTTCTCTTTTTTTTCTTCCCCTCCCCCTCCTTCTTTTTCCTCTCTCCCTCTCTCTTTTTCTTTCTCTCTCTCTTACAATTATGCAAGTATTTTTTAAAAGATATTTTTATTGATTTTAGAGAAGAAGGGAGAGAGAAAAAGAGAGTAAAATATCAATGATGAGAGACTATCATTGATAAGCTGCTTCATGCACACCCCCCTACTAGGTAGGGATTCAGCCCGCAAACCTGCCATATGGCCTGACCAGGAATCGAACCATGACCTCCTGGTCCTTAGGTCAAGACTCAACCTCTGAGCCATGTGGCTGGCCAAATTGTACAAGTATTTTAATAGGCTGTGTTCTGTGTCTTTGGTTCAATTTTTTATTTATTAACAATTTATTCATAATCATATCAATATTATGCACATTATCTAAACTATCAGGAGTCTGCAGACTTTTCTGAAAAGGGAAAGTAGTAAATATTTTAGCTTTGTGGACCATAAGATCTCTCTCTGTCACGCTGCCCAACTCTGTAGGAAAACAGCTATAGACAGTATGAATGGGCATGGCTGAATTTGGCCCACAGACCTCAATTTATGGGTGAAAGCCTGTTCTAGTTTCTCATTTATTTGTTGTCTCTCACCTGACAGTAACTGAGAGAAGATATAATACTTTAAAGTTGTAAAAGAATGCTATTAAAATAAAAACAAACATTTGGGCCAAGATCTTAAAGCACTTTTCAGAGCCTGCTTTGCACATGGCTGTTGGGGGCAAATGGCATGCCAGTTATACATTCAGTGCTTTTCTTCATGCACTTGAAAACAATAATCACTTTTTGAGATGAGCAGAGCGGGAACAGGGGGACACATTTTTAGTCTGGTACCTATATGTATTTTAAAATACTCCCGGTCTCTAGTTTTACTGACATCTAAGCATTTAATAGCTAAAATAACATTTTCTAGTACTTTATGTGTGGCTTACGTTTATTTGAGTTTTGATGTATTAGTATGATTATTTGTTTGTTTGTTTTCTCCCTATAGTGACATTCAAGAGCCAAAGGAATCACTGCTACATTCTAAAACCTCAGCAGCTGCTCAGTTGGATGAGCTCATGGCCCACCTGTGTGAAATGCAGGCCAAGGTGAGCACAGTCCCGGTGATAAAGCCTTCTAGTTTGTCTCTTTGAAACACAGATCTGCATTCCCCCTTGAGGGACAGTTTTAAGTTGTCATTTATTTTCCCAGACTAAATTTAATTTAATAAATGAACTCAACCTTGTGCTATGTATTATCTGGACATAAAAGATACTATGATCCAGGCACTGATCTCAAGGAGCTTAGGCTGTTCTTGGCAAAATGAGGCATAAGCCTCTATAATATTTATAGAATAAAAGACAGATGGTTTATCAAAATATGTGGAGCAAACGTTAGGAATGTATAGAAGTCAAGGAGAGTTCATCAGAGGTGGACATGGGTATGGGATAGACTCTAAAGAATGAAAAGAGTTTGGACATACAGAGATGAAGAAGACATCCTTTGAGTTGGAGTGAGCCCTGTGGGCACTAGTCTCTAATGCTGGTTAAAGTGTGGCAGGACTGTTAAGGTGACCTTCCTGGGCAGGATAGAGGAGAGCTGTGGACAAGCTAGGGCACACAAGAGACATCAAGCTAGGGCACACAAGGTTTTCAAAATAGGTATCACGAGGAGTCCTAAGCCCTCCATTGAGATAAAATCCATTTCCTTGTTCTAGCCTCCAGAGCATGCATGAGTGGTGAGCTCATGTGGCCTGGCAGAGAATGGAAATCAACTGCATGGGCTTAAGAATTTATCAAAGGAAATATCACCTAGAATTCTTAAAGTAGAGACTACAACCATTCTAAATTGATTGGAGGATTTATTACACACACATGAAGTGACTATGAAATAATTTCAAGACAATATATAAAAATGTGTGTGATTGGTGAGAATAAGAACCTTATCTTTGTGGCTCACTGTTGGACTCCCAAGACTCAGCATAGTTCCTGACAATGAATAATACATACTTATTAGAGGAAAAGATGAATAAACATCAGAAACAAGTTTTTCTTTAATGTCTGCAAGAAAGCTGAGTTTATTCCCCATTGAACTGTTTATTTGGAAATACAGAAAAGTATACTTTATGTTTGTGTGATGTTTTCTAATTGATTTAGCATGTTTCTTGATTTATTTACATTTTTAAATATCTGTTATTTTTTTTAATAGGCCATACCTTCACATTGCGCAAAATTCAAAAGCGTAAAAGTTTGTAATGAACAGTTTCCTTAACAGCTCTGTCCCAAATTATCCAGTTCTGCTGCCTGAAGATGATCAATATTTTTTGTCTCTTACATACTGATTCAGAAGTATTTCTAGGATATGATGTAAATGTCATTGTAAATATAGATATATTATTGTGTTTTTACTTATTTTTGAACTTAATATTGGTCACCCTTGCAGGCCTTTTAGACATTAACCTTTTGAACACTGATCTTTTCAACATTAACTAATGTCATATAATAGAGGAGGAAGGATATCTGTTAGATGATAAAAGTTTCTTTTTTAAAATAACTATTTTAATGTTTTATAACTATTTTGGAATTTTTCTTCAATAACTATAATCCATCAGCAAGTCTTATCTGACAATTTCTCACCACCTTTGCCCCCAACTGGAATGTCCAAGTCATTATTTCTGGTGTGAGCTGTTATTATAGTCTCCCACATAACTAGTGCCTCTAATTCCTCTCAACACTTAATTCCTCACTCAGCTACCATAAGAATCTTATAATTAGATTCTTTCATCCTCCAATAACTCCATTATCTTTGCAATAAAATCATATCTTTTATCATAAAGGCAAAAATGTGATCATTGTGATCTTTGCCTCCTTCTCTATTATCTTCTCCTGCCACACACAACTTCACTCTCTCTACTCTAGCCCCACTAACTTTTTTTATTTATTATTATTATTATTTTTTTTTTTTACCATTCTTCTCATGTACCAAGCAACTTCCTTCCTCTGGTTCTCCCCTTCCTCTGTAATGCTTTCCCCACAGAAATCAATATTTCTGATTCCCTAAGTACATCATTTAAATATCCACTGAAATGTCACATCCTTAGAGGTCCTTCTCTAATCACCATCATCTTAATCAATTCTTCCTCACCATCCTACCCTCAGTCACTTTTATCTTGATGTATAATCCTAATATATAAAATCACTGGGTCCATCACATCCACAATGACTGGAGGCTTGACCAACCAGAAAACAGTCCTGCAGTCAGCGCTGGATTGCCGTGGCAACCAGCACTGACTGCTAGGCTGCAGGTGCAGTGACCCAGCACTGACTGCTGAGGGGGCTGTGAATCAGGCCGGGAGAGAGGCCTGAAGAGAGAGGCAGGGTTTGATCTGTAACCTGTGTGGCAGCTGTTGATCAGCACTTGCTTCTCTCTTTCTCTCTGGGCCTGGCCAGCAGCTGCACCTCTATTTATCTCCAGGCCTCCACCAGGGCTGCTGATCAGCTTTGCCTTTCTGATCAGGCCCTGTTGATAGGCCCAGAGATACTGGCTGGTGTAGAAACTGAGCAATCAGAACCAAATCTGGGTGAACTGTGAGGAGTCAATGGCTACCTAGGAGGTGGAGTTTTTGACACTGGCTGGCATAGAAACTGACCATTCAAAACCAAATTGGCCAGCAGAGGAGGGCAATTGGAGGCAAGATAAGGCTGGCAGGAGAGGGCAGTTGGGGTTGATCAAGCTGGCAGGGAAGGGCAATTGGGGGCAAGATAAGGTTGGCAGAAGAGGGCAGGAGGGGGTGAGATCAGACCTTAAAGAGAGGCAGTTGGGGGCAAGATCAGGCCAGCAGGGGAGGGTCACTGGGGGTAATCAGGCAGGCAGAGGCAGTTGGGGGTGAGATCAGGTCAGCAGGGGAGGGAAGTTAGGGGCAATCATGTAGGCAGGCAGGCAGGTGAACAGGTAGGCAGGCAGAGGCAGTTAGGGGCTATCAGGTAGGCAGGCAGGTGAACGGTTAGGAGCCAGCAGTCCCAGATTGTGAGAGGGATGTCCAACTGCTGGTTTAGCCCTGATTCTACAGGGATTGGGCCTAAACCAGCAGTCGGATATCCCCCAAGGGGTCCCCAATAAAAGAGGGTGCAGGCTGGGCTGAGGGAACCCCCCTTCTGTGCATGAATTTTGTGCACTGGACCACTAATATATATCATATTTCTCTCTGGCACTGCATCATATATTCATTTATTATTATTATTTAACATATTTTTATTGATTTTCAGAGAGGAAGGGAGAATGAAAGAGAGATAGAAACATCTATGATTTTCAAGAAGAAGGGTGATGAGAGAGAATCATTGATTGGCTGCCTCCTGCATGCCCCCTACTGCGGATTGAGCCTGCAACCTGGGCATGTGCCCCCAACTGGAATTGACCCAGTCCACAGGCCGACACTATCCATTGAGCCAAACCAGCTAGGGCCATCATATATTCATTTTAATTTTTTATTGTCTGTCATCCAGGGAATGTAAACTTTATGAGGAGAGACATTTGGTTGCTCTTGTACATCGTCTCTACCAAGAGCCAGCCTAGAACAGGGTTTGGGAAAAACTAGGTGCTCAATAAACACTGCAGAATAAATGAATAAAAAGAAGACTGCTGAATTGTGATTATCACAATAGCCAGCATTATCTTCATCCACTCAATTTCCTATGGCCAGAAGGAAGATTAATCAGATTTCATTCAGCATGAGGAATTTAGAATGAAAAAGAGATGAAAGCAGTTTTATTGGTGTTATAATGTTGAATTCTTCCATATCTTGGAGGAAGGTTCAGGAAAGACTAAAGGGTCCATCAGTAGAGGTGAGTTTATAGGGTTATGAAGAAGATGCCACTGAGAATGAATTCCTTGAGGCTAACTCTGTTCATGGTTCTCTCTTTGGTACCAGGTGGCAGTGAAAGAAGATGCCAGCCAGAAGTATTTACCAGACAAGCAGGATCACAAGGCCTCCCTGGACTCAATGCTGGGGGGATTGGAGCAGGAATTGCAGGACCTTGGGATTGCCACAGTGCCCAAGGGCCATTGTGCTTCCTGCCAGAAATTGATTGCTGGAAAGGTGGGACGGGCCAGATTTGGTCATACAACCATCTATGTCTGTGTGTGTGTGTCTCTGTCCCATCAAAGATTGTTATTTCTCATTATATTCTAAGATGTTTTAATAATCTATCTATATAAAAGCCTAAGCAATCATCACAACCAAATGACGACTTAACAGGCTGCATGGGGCAACCAGGCCGGCAGTGGGGTTAGTGAGGGGCGACCAAATGACCGAGCAGCAGACTGCATGGGGCAACAAGGCCAGCAGGGGTGGCAGTGAGAGGTGACCGAAATACCGAACAATAGGCTGTTGGGGGCGACCAGGTCAGCGGGGGGGGGGGGGGGGGCAGTTGGGGGCAACTAGGCCAGCAGGAGGGCAGGAGGCAGTTGCGGGTGATCAGCCAGCAGGCAGAGGCAGTTAGGGTTGATGAGGCCATGAGGGGGGCAGTGAGAGGCAACCAAACTACCGAACAGCAGGCTGTGTGAGGCAACCAGGCTGGCGGGGGGGGGGGGGGGGGGGTGCGAGGGGGGGAGGGGGTGGCGCGGGATCAGGCCAGCAGGCAGAGGAAGTTAGGGTTGATGAGGTCAGCCAGCAGGGGGGCAGTTAGGGGTAACCAGGCCATGAGAGGGGGCAGTGAGGGGTGATCAGGCTGGTAGGCAGAGGCAGTTAGGGGTTATCAGGCTGGCAGGGGAGGCAGTAGAGGTGATCAAACAGGCAGGCAGGTGAACAGTTAGGAGCCAGTGGTCCAGGATTGTAACAGGAATGTCTTCCGGTTTAAAACCAGCAGTCAGACATCCCCAACAGGACCTGGATTGGAGATGGTTCAGGCTTGGCTGAAGGGACTCTCCCCGCCATGCACCAGGGCCTCTAGTCTATATATATAAAAGCCTAAGTGACCGTTTGACCATTCGACTGTTAGCTATGATGTGCCCTCACCACCAGGGGGCAGACACTCAACACACAGGCATGGAAACATGTAACAGACTGATGAATCTCAGAGGGAAAGGGGCAGGGGGAAGGGTGGGAAGAGATTAACCAAAGTTCTTTTATGCAGACTAGAGGCCCGGTACATGGATTTGTGCACTGGTGGGGTCCTTAGGCCTGGGCTGTGGGGGTTGGGTCAAAACTGGCAGTCAAAACCCCCAAGGGGTTCTGGATTGCGAGAGTGTGCAGGCCAGACCAAGGGACCCCACCGGTGCACGAATCCATACACCGGGCTTCTAGTATTTAATAATTACTGATCACTTATAGAGCTCTGGGCAGTGAGCTAGTGCTTTTACAAGTATTTCTTCATTTAATGGTCACATTAGTCCTTGAGGGAGACTCTAGTATTATTCCCTTTGTAAAGGTTATGAAACTGAGGTCTAGTAAGAGGTAAAGCTAGGATTTGAACCCAGGATGGTCAAGCTTTTAACCTGAGTTTAAGCTTTTAACCTCTGTGCTGCCTTTACTTGAGAGGAACTTTCTCACTGTTCCCTCAGTGCAAACATGCCTAGTTTAAATCGATTGCATTTAATTTTTAGCTGCATTCAACTCCAAATCTTCGCCACTAACTCCTGCTCTCATCACAGGGTTTTGAGACCCAACTCTGCATGGGGCGTGAGATGAGATGTTCAAACCAGAGGAACAAAAACTGTCTTTTGGCCTTTCCCTCTTCTAGGATCCCTGCCAAGGCAGTAGTTAAATGCTTCTGTCACTACTGTGCTCTATTTTGTTTCTTATACCATCTGAGGCAGTATAGTGGTAACAAATATTTATAGGCTTTTATCAGGGTGAGCAGTCAAGAAAGTGGGTACTTTTTTCCTCTCCATAAAGCATGGGCAACAGACCACAAAGGTGGGACCCAGGTCCAGGCCTTAGTGTGTAACTCCAGGGGTGTCATTTACTAAGAAAACTGTGTGAAGAGTGTCCACCACAATGTGCAACCTGCAGGCCTTAGAACACCCTCCTGGCTCTCACACCAGGCTTTGTTTTCCTTTTCCAGGTAATCCATGCTCTCGGGCAAGCATGGCATCCAGAGCACTTCATCTGTAGTCACTGCAAAGAAGAGATTGGCTCCAGTCCCTTCTTTGAGCGCAGTGGCTTGGCCTACTGCCCCAAGGACTATCACCACCTGTTTTCGCCACGCTGTGCTTACTGTGCTGCTCCCATCCTGGATGTGAGTAAACCCCCTCTTCCCCCTCTGCTTTCCTGTAGTTTTTCCCCATTCCTATAGAACAGGGTCGTGCTTTATAGTTCGGAGGCATTCTGATATCTCTCCCTGTGTTCCTTTTCCAGAGAGTGCTGACGGCAATGAACCAAACCTGGCACCCAGAGCACTTCTTCTGCTCTCACTGTGGAGAGGTGTTTGGTGCAGAAGGTATGGCCTAGGGTACTTTGATCTGTCCTGGTTGTCCAGGATTCTGCCTCTACCACCCAAGTGCCCATTTCAGTGCCAAATGCCATCCTTCCCTACCTTTTCCCAACACTTATAGATTTTGTTAAAATTGAATTATTTTAATCAAAGAAACATGATTGCATAGTTTAAAAACTCAAACATTGCCGAGACCGGTTTGGCTCAATGGAAAGAGCGTCGGCTTGGGGACTGAAGGGACCCGGGTTCGATTCCGGTCAAGGGCATGTACCTTGGTTGCGGGCATATCCCCGGTAGGGGGTGTGCAGGAGGCAGCTGATCGATGACTCTCTCTCATCGATGTTTCTAACTCTCTATCTCTCTCACTTCCACTCTGTACAAAATCAATAAAATATATTTAAAAAAAATAAAAAAAAAATAAAAACTCAAACATTACTTCAAGGGTGATATTAAAAATGAACAGTTCCCTGCTCCTCCTTTCTCCACCCCAATCCTACTTCTCTCTTAATTTTTTTTAGCTTTTCTTTTTGTTATTTATTTAGGTTTTTTAAGTGATACATTACTACAAATTTGTTTTCTGCCTAATTTTAATCATTATGTATTCACTTTCTATTAGAGAAGATGAGGATTTAGAAATGTTATTACTATCCCACCATATTTAGGGATACCATACTTTCACCACCAACCTATTTCCCCTTCCATATTTTCGCAGTTTATAATTAGGTCATAATTACAGGTCAGGTCAGTATTCAGTGTGTATAGGTAGATAATCATGTAAATATTGCTGACAGTTGAGCCTGGGTAGCAAACTGTGATTACAGTAGGACCTGGCTTTTGGAATCAGACTACATGGTTTAAATCTGGACTATGACATTTATTTAGTATACTAGAGGCCCAAAGCATGAAATTTGTACATTGAGGAGGGGGAGTCCCTCAGCCTGGCCTGTGCCCTCTTGCAGTCCGGGACCCCTCAAGGGATGTCTGCCAGCCAGCTATTTGGCCTAAGCTGGCAGGCAGATATCCCTCTTGCAGTCCAGGACCCCTCACTCCTTACCACCAGCCTGCAGCGAAGGTGGAAGAGACTCCCGCCACCGCCACTGAGCTTGCCAGCCATGAGCCCAGCTTCTCGCTGAATGGTGCTCCCCCTGTGGGAGAGCACTGACACCAGGGGGCAGCTCCTGTGTTGAGCATCTGCCCCCTGGTGGTCAGTGTGCATCATAGTGACCAGTTGTTCCACTGTAGGGTCGATTTGCATAATCGGGTTTTATAATATAGGATGATGTTGTTCCAGTCACTTAACCTCTTTGTATCTCACTTTCCTTATCAGTAAAATGGCCCTAATAATTATGCCTACCTTATAGGATCATTATGAGGATTTTGAGAGTCTTTATTAAGGCTTAAAACAGTGTCTGGCACATGGAGTCCTTCTGTATATATATATATTTTTTTTCCTGAAGTCAATATTTGGATCCTTTTTTCATTAGCTTAATTTTCATTATACTTATTACTAACTTATCTGACAGATCTATGAAGTCTTTCTCAAAGCAGTCAACCACATGTGGTGATAGGTCAGTTCCATTTGTTCTTTCTCGTAGACATCTGTCCCAGAGACGCCCATATTCCTGCTCTAGCCTGAGGCCTGTTCAGAAGCAGTTATTCTGGGTCAGTGGTCAGCAAACTCATTAGTCAACAGCCAAATATCAATAGTACAATGATTGAAATTTCTTTTGAGAGCCAATTTTTTAAAACTTAAACTATATAGGTAGGTACATTGTTATTAACTTAATTAGGGTACTCCTAAGCTGGCCTTTGCTAAAATCTTAGGAGGCCAAAGAGCCGCCTATGGCTCATGAGCTGCAGTTTGCCAACCACTGTTCTGGGCCATTATCTTGGGAATTCCTTTTACTATTTTACTCTTTGAATCCTCTGTTTCCTGGATCTCAAGTCTTTTAATACATGTTACTGTCTTTATTTTGATAAAACACATCCTGTAGTAACTCTTGAGAATAGGTAAAAATTTTGAGACCTTGAATATCTGAAAATATTTTTGATCTGTTGTCTATCTTCAGTTGCCTGGGCAGACAATTCTAGGTGGAAACTATTTTCCCTCATAATTCTAAAGACTTTGTTTGCTTCACTGTCTTCCAGTTTCCACAGTTGAGAAATATTTTTGTTTTGTCTTTTTATGATTTTTAAAAAATCTTTTTTAAAATTGTTAAAAGTATTCCATATATCCCCTTTTTCCCCCATTGACCTTTTCTAGCCCACCTTCACCCCCTGCCCTAGGCCTTCACTACCCTATTGTCTGTGTCATTGGTTATGCACTTATGCATACAAGTTCTTTGGTTGATCTCTTCCCACCTGCCCACCTTCCCCCTGCCTTCTCTCTGAGATGCCACAGTCTGTTCCCATGTATAATCATGTATTAATCATGCTTCTATGTCTCTGGATCTATTTGTTCATAAGTTTATTTTGTTCTCTCGATTCCACATATGAGTGAGATAATGTGATGCTTTTCTTTCTCTGACTGGCTTATTTTACTTGGCATGTGCTTGACTGGTCCCCCATTCTGTCTCAAGGCATAAAAGATCCTTCTTCTGCCCTGGCCAGTTTGGCTCAGTAGATAGAATGTCAGCCTGCAGACTGAAGGGTCCTGGGTTCGATTCCTATTGGGGGCGCATGTCCAGGTTGCCACCTCGATCCCCAATGGGGGGTGTGCAGGGGATGGCCGATCAGTGGTTCTCTCTCATCATTGATATTTCTCTTCCCTTCTCCCTTCCTCTCTGAAATCAATAATAATAAAAATCCCTCTTCTTTACTGTTGCATAGTATTCCATGTTGCAAATGTACCACAGCTTAATCCTCAACTGAGGATATTTTTCCATTGATTTTTAGAGGAAGTGGAAGGGAGAGATAGAGAGAAACATCAATGTGAGAGAGACACATCCATTGGTTGCCTCTTGCATGCAATCCAAACAGGACTGGGGAACCTGCAACTAACGTACATGCCCTTCACTAGAAATGAACTCAAGAATCTTCAATCTGTGGGCTGACACTCTATCCACTGAGCCAAACTGGTTAGGGCTCGGCCTTTAATCTTGAATCAATTCAAGAGATGTTCTCTCTGCCAGCATTATGAAAAATTTTAAAAAGGATTAGAAAATGAGGTTTCACCATTCAGAATGCCAACTTGTATGTAATCGTCCTCCTTCCCCCTTCCCCCTTTTCTTTTTTTCCAGTAGAAACTTTACTTCTTTCCTCATGGTGCCCAGAATCTCCAGTTTGATATCTCCAGAATTAATTACTGCATCTTACGGTAGGGTGGGGAATCTGATCTTCTAACAGCTCCTCAGAATTGCAACCAATCCTGTTTTTAGTCTTGAGACTATTTTATGCATTCAGTTTCTGAGCTGATAATCTGGAGCTCCAGATAACTTAAATTTTATTGACACCTCCTCTCTCTGGAGACATACCCTGTTTCCCCCAAAATAAAAGTGTCTTATATTAATTTTTTCTTCCAAAGTTGCGCTAGGTCTTATTTTCAGGAGATGTCTTATCTTTCCATGCGCTAGGTCTTATGTTCGGAGGATGTCTTATTTTTGGAGAAACACGGGAAGATTTCAGTGTTCTTGTCTTTGCCAAGCTAGTTGTCACACTTATACCTACTTCAAAATTTCAAAAATTTTATTGATATCTCATTTGTGGCATCTCTTTTCCTTTTCTCCTTTGCCTATGGGTCTTTCTACTTTAGATTATTCTTTAACTATTATGTCAGTGATGTTTCAAATGGAAGTGAAGATAATCCCACGAGTCTTACCCTCACCAACGTGGACTCTACTAATGTCAGGCCTGTTATTATGTATATTCATAATTACCATTCAGTTAATCCCATCCACAACTGTGTAAGACTTTCCACACTTTATCTAGTTATAGATGAAAACACTGAACCTCAGAAAGGAAAAGTTATTTTCTTTTAAAATATGTTTTATTGATTTTTTACAGAGAGGAAGGGAGAGGGATAGAGAGTTAGAAACATCAATGAGAGAGAAACATCGATCAGCTGCCTCTTGCACACCTCCTACTGGGGATGTGCCTGCAACCAAGGTATATGCCCTTGACCGGAATCGAACCTAGGTCCTTTCAGTCCACAGGCCAACACTCTATCCACTGAGCCAAACCGGTTTCAATTTCAGCAAAAAGTGATTTTCTTAAAGTCATAAAATTGGAATTTAAATTAAGGTATTATTTTTGCAAGTTTCATGTTTGTTTGCTTTTCTACAGCATCCTAAGTGCTCTTTGACAGAGTCTCAATTCCTCTTCTACTGTTGGAACTTTGTACTTTTTTGGCACCAACATAATGCACTTTATTTGAAGATAGACCTGGATTGAATAGCATTGATATAATCCACTAGTTAAGTGCTTTGTAGTAATTTGCTTGTTCACTGAAGCTTGTTCAATGCTTTTCACAAATCATTAGGCCTTTCATTTCTAGATTGCACTTTAGTTAAGCATATTTTTCATTGGGGTTTAATCTAAAGCATATTGAAATGTGTCATGGCAAATTTATATTGCACAGTAGCCATAGAATTTATATAGCAGTAGCCATAGAATTCTAAGAGCTAGTTGAATAGAATAGTAAATAGAATATGACCCAGAGATAATCACGATGTGGACATTGCCTGAGAGCAGAACAAAAGAATACAGATGAATTTCAAGAAGAAATGTAAGTTAGATACAACAGGAAAATATCCTATCCATAGGACGACCAGAAAGCATCATTGCTTTTGACTTGAGCCTCTTCTAAACTGACAGGCAGATTGGGTTATTTATAAATTCACATAAATATGAAGCCACACCTAAGAAATATTTATTTAGAAAATTGAATAAAAAGGCCATCTACTAATCAGAAGCTCCTCTTGAATAGCATTTTTGTTTTTATTCTTTGATTTCTGTAAATGGGTCTCCTACTATAGGGTTAGCCCATTAATTAGGTGGTATCCTGCTTTACTCAAGTCACACACAGAGCTTCTATAATGACAGCTAACTCCTTGAGCCTCCTGGGAAATTAAATTCATCTGCATTTTTTGTTTCAGTTCAGGGAATTGCTCTTTAAGCCTCAAGTTTCTAAGTACACCAGGCCTTAACATCCTCCCATAGGGAATAGGTCCTCATTGCCTACCTTCTTTTTAATTGTTCATTATCCAGGGCATGCAGGTGCTCCCTAATTTCCCTGGCGGATAAGAGCCTCATAGAGTGTGGCACTTTTAATTGTTAGTGTTTCTTGTCCCTCCTCCAGAGGTAATTGGCCCCAGAGAGAGCCTCTAGGCAAGTAGGTGCTGAAACTTTCTCAACTTATTGCATAACATATGCAGGGGTATCACAACAAGTTTGTCTTATTGCTTTTGATTCCTCTCTTGAGACTCACTTGAGTTCAAACAGAGGCTGTTATTTCCCTGTTATCTCATTCTTCTGACCGGCTACTTTACAAATGCCTAGATGAGGGTCATTCCTAGATCAGTTGGCATGTCTTATAGTTTTCTCAAGTAACACTGACTTACAAGCAAGCTCACTTTTAGGTCATTTGCATTGCCTGAGGACTTGTCTGAAATAAAAATTCTCAGGCCCCATCCCAGACCTACTGAATCAGAAATTCTGGGGTGGGGCCCAGCCAGTAATCTCACCAGGTGATGGATGCACAAGAATGTATAAGAAATATTGGGGCACACAAAAGGAAGAAAGGTGGCTGTGCATCTTTGTTTGTTTTTCTTAAATACTAGAATTGTCCACAGTCAGTTGCACTTGATCAGACTCTAGAAATTCTTTGATAAAGTGAAAAAAAGTCAGCAATCTCATCTCCTGTCTCAGAGGAAAGAACACAATTATAGTTTGGATTATTAAATCCATAGGCCTCAGAAGTCTGTTAGGCTATCTGCTTTTCCAAGACAGCATCATTGAACAAGGCAAGACATATCTACCAGTGACTGGAGATTATGGGAATATTACAACCACCTGATTTGGGTCCCATTGCCTTTTTTCTCTTTTTTAATTCGGCTGCTACTATCAAAATAGATTTCTAGAAATAATGCTCTTGGTGGGCTACTTTCCAATCCACTGAGTATGCTTTACTTTCACACTATTTTAGTAGGCACAGGTGGAGCTTTCATATTTGCAGAGATATTGGCTTATGATATTTGTGCTCAGCCAACACTATCAGGTCCCACAGAGAGTTACTGAGATTTTTTTTGTAGTTCTTTTTGTCTTTATAATTCATACAGTAGGACTGTACAGTCAAAATACGGTGTTTTAAGGACACTAGAATGAATTATTGCTTTTCCTTGGTCATATCACCAATTTGTTTCCACTTGATTCAATTTTTAGGGAGACATTTTATAAAACAATAATTGAAACCATATTATTTTTTAACATATATTTTAGAGAGGAATAGAAAGGGATAGAGAGGTAGAAACATCAATAAGAGAAACATCATTGATCAGTTGACTTCTGAATACCCCCTGACAGGGGATTGAGCTTGCAATGCGGGAATGTACCCTGACCTGGAATGGAACCAGTGGCCTCTTAATTCTTGGCTCAATGCTCAACAGTGGAGCCACACCAGCCATGCTAAATCATATAATTATTTAGGAACCTTTATATTCATTATATTTCTCTGAGATATAATTAACAAATCATTTCCTTTGTTTTTCCTTCCTTTTAGCTTTGCTTACAGTGTTTTTTGATCATGCATATGTCATTAACATATATTTTTATGTAGCTTAATTTATTAATATTTAACTTGCTTTTAAAATTTGTGATATTTTATGACAGTTCTTATTTCGTTCCCAGATTAAAGAAGAATACACCAATTTTTAAATTCAAGTATTTGTATGGTTTGAATTATTACATTTAGATCTTACAACTATTTGGAAATTATTATTTCATAGTTCTATATTTTTAAATATGAGACAGACTTTTTCCAGGTGCCATTTTAGATACTGGAGATACAGTGTGACAAGATCTAGTTTCTCTCAGAGCTAATGTTCCACTAGGAAAGATAGACCACAAAGATGATTTTAGATAATGGTAAATAAAGGCAATGAAAAAGCCCAAGTGATAGATACAGGCTGGAGAAATGCCTCTTCGATAAAATGATTTTTTTTAAAGCTGATTTATAAATGACAAGATGAGGCTAGCCATATCGAGGTCTGGGGCAGAACTGTCCAGGCGAAGGGAATGGTTAATACTAAGGCATCAAGAAGCAATAGCCCTTACCACTGTTAATGCTCACTATGACTCAGGCACAATACTGAAATATGTTACCTGCATTATCACTGTATTTCTCAGAATGGCCCTTTGAGGTAGGTATTTGTTGTTAGCTCCATTATTTTGAACACAAATATACTGAGTTTGGGAGAGTTTAAAATCATTGGCCTCTTTTCAACCTCCAACTTGGCTTCTGGTCTCAAACTGCACCAATGAACCCTTGATTTCTCTCTCTCTAGGTTTTCACGAGAAGGACAAGAAGCCATATTGCCGGAAGGATTTCTTAGCCATGTTCTCACCCAAGTGTGGGGGCTGCAACCGCCCAGTGTTGGAAAACTACCTTTCAGCCATGGACACTGTCTGGCACCCAGAGTGCTTTGTTTGTGGGGTCTGTGCACTCAGTTATTATTATTATTATTATTATTATTATTATTATTATTATTATTTTGGATTTAAGGAAAGTCAGGGGTTCTCCTCTGAGAGGCGGAGCTGCTAAGAGGGGTCAGAGCTTGGGATGAGGGGTTGATGTGGGCTTCCTAAAGGAGACATGAAACATAGCATTTGTTGTGGCATTTGCTTTCCATTTTGCAAGTGGACCATATTCTAGCCTTCATTTGGCAGGAATTTCTAGGCTGAAAGTTTTACTTTGCGGATGTTTTATTCTTGACATCTGCCTTCCTTTCCTTTCTCTTCTATCCACCCCCAGGACTGCTTCACCAGTTTCTCCACTGGCTCCTTCTTTGAACTGGATGGACGTCCATTCTGCGAGCTCCATTACCATCAGCGCCGAGGAACCCTCTGCCATGGGTGTGGGCAGCCCATCGCCGGCCGCTGCATCAGTGCCATGGGCCACAAGTTCCATCCTGAGCACTTCGTCTGTGCTTTCTGCCTGACGCAGTTGTCAAAGGGAATCTTTAGGGAACAGAATGGCAAGACCTATTGTCCACCCTGCTTCAATAAGCTCTTCCAAGTGTAATCTCAGCTGAACCCACAGCCCCCCAGATATCTTTAACATTGAAACCAAGAGAGGAAAGAGTACATTTGCTGTTACTGACCTTCTATTCAATAGGCTTATAGAGAAAGTAGAGCCTATGAAGGGAATGTCTAGATGTTAGACTTGTAGCCTTAAGTTTCAGATTTCTAGTCTTATTTTTTTTTTAATTGGGTACTTGGATTTAGAATTGGAGCCTGCTAGCTAGTGTCTCTGCAGATGTATTTTCCACACGCACACATTCATTTTGTAACTGGTTATCTCAGATTTCTCCATTTTTCACTCCTATGATGGCCCTGCTCACATCTCTCCTTTTCAAGCTTGCCATATTTCCCTGTGACTCAGTTCCTCACAATCATGGTAGCAGTCTTAAGTTCCTTGCATCTCCCTTCAGTATATTTCTCTTTTTCAAGAGGAATTAGATTTTAACTGGACAATTTTGAGTGCTGACATAATTGACAAATAAAGTGACGTGTGTGTGTGTGTGTGTGTGTGTGTGTGTGTGTGTGTTTTAAATATGTTTTCATTGCTTTTAGAGAGAGGAAGAGAGAGAGACATTGAGGTGAAAGAGAAACATCAATCGGTTGCCTCCCATATACACCCTGACCAGGAACTGAACCTGCAACCTTTTTGATGTATGGGACAACACTCCAACCAACCAAGTCATACTGGCCAGGGCAAGTATTATAGCTTGTGTTTTAATGACTCAATATAATGTAGTTTGGTAGATGATCCTTTTGCTTCTCATATTAATAAACTAAGCACTTTGTGCAATTAATTACATTTATATCATACCTCTTGTTTACATCCATAAAATAAGCATTTTTTAATTAAAAGTACATTAATTAATTTAATGTATTACTCCTAGTCACTAACTTTTTTTATTAATTTGGACCAATAACATTCATTTTATTTTATTTTATTTGTACTTAGATAAATGAATCATTTTAAAAGATGGCAAAGCTTCTTAAAATTGTTCTCATCACTTTGTTTACTAAAGGAGAAAAATTGGATTTGTACTAGGCACTTGCAAATCTTTATTTGCATATAAATGCATGTCTCCAAACTAAAAAAAGTATATATTAAATATGTCCAGATTCTTGAATGTTAATTATATCTCAACTAAAGGTCTGGTGCATGAAATTTGTGCACTGGGGTGGAGGGTCCCTCAGCCTGGCTTACCCCCTCTCATGGTCTGAGAGTACTCAGAGGATGTCCTACTGATGGCTTAGCTGCAGTCTGGCCTCCCTCTGTGGGAGGTGACCAGCTGATCAGAAGAAGGTGTCACCCCCATTACCCCGCTGCTGCTGCCACTGCTGGCCACCACAGACACCAAGGTGTTTTCATCAACATGGATTCCTGTCCCTTCACTACAAAAAAAATGACAACTTTCTTTTGGCATTTTCAAGATGTGTCTTTCATAGGATATGACATTTCTTTCTTTCTTTTTTATCTTCACCTGAGGATATGCTTCCATTGATTTTTAGAGAGTGAGGAAGACAGAGAGAAACATCAATGTGAGAGGGACCCTTCAATTGGTTGCCTCCTGCATGAGCCCTGACCTGGGCCCCGGCCAGGGACGATCTTGCAACCTAGGTACATGCCCTTAAACAGAATCAAACCCAGACCATACAGTCCACAGGCCAAGACTTTATCCACTGAACCAAACTGGTTAGGGCAGAATATGACATTGCTTAGCCCCTCCAGCAGTAGGCCTTCATTTTTCCTCCAGGAGTAAGGTGGAAAAACCCTAGATCACCTTCTTGGATTCTTAAACAGTAGGACATCCTCTGAGTACTCTCAGACCATGAGAGGGGGTAAGCCAGGCTGAGGGACCCTCCACCCCAGTGCACAAATTTCATGCACCAGACCTTTAGTTGAGATATAATTGATATTCAAGAATCTGGACATATTTAATATATACTTTTTTTAGTTACCAAGAACACTGTGAGTGGCAGTGTACAGGGAGCTTAGCCAATGAGAAATCAGAAAAGGTGTTTCCCCCCTGATGTGTCCCCTGGGGTGGGGATGGCTCCGAACCACGTCAAGGTTGCTCGGAGCATGCCCCCAGCCCTGGTGTTGTGTCTCTTTTTCGGCCTGCCCCAGCCTAAGTCTCCCTGTAGCCACTGGGGCTGGGGGTGGCACACAGTCCCCTCCAGCCTATCTGCTTGCGCAGTTCATCTTGAGCCGACCGTGATGCCTTAAGGCGTCCCGGCTAATTTGCATTATATGGTGACCCGGTGCATGAAATTAATGCGGGGTGGGTGGGTGGGGGGATAGTTTCCTTCAGCCCAGCCTGCTCCCTCTTCAATCTAGGACCCGTCGAAGGATGTCCTACTGCTGGTTTACAGAGATTAGGCCTAAACCGGCAGTTGGACATCCCTCTTGCAATCCGGGACTGCTCCCCTGCCTGCCTGTCTGATTGCCCCTAACCACTCTGCATGCTGTCCTGCTCGCCCCCAACTGCCCCTTGCTGCCAGCCTGCTTGCCCCCAAATGCCCCCCTGCCAGCCTGCTCACCCCCAATTTCCCCCCCTACTGGCCTGCTCACCCACACCTGCACTCCTGACTGGCCTGATCACACACAACTGACCCTAATTGACGGCCTTCTTACCCCTAACTTGCCCCTGTTGCTGGTCTGCTCACCTCTTGCTGGCCTGATTACTCCCAATGCCCTCCCCCCCACCACTGGCCTGATCACACACAACTGCCCTTCCCTCTGGCCTCTAACCACCTCTACCTCAGCCCTGCCACTATGGCTTTATCCAGAAGAATATCCGGAAGGTTTCCTGGAAGGTCTCCCAGTCTAATTAACATAATACCCTTTTATTAGTATAGGTAGAGGCATGATGCATGGATGGGGGCTGGCTGGTTTGCCCTGAAGGGTATCCCGGATCAGGATAGGGGTTCCCTTGGGTGGTAGGGAAGCCTAGGCTAGGGGTTTGTGGTGGTTTTTAAGCCAGCCGTGCCCCCATGGGGTGAGAGTCACTACTGGGGGTGCATGGCCAGCCTCGGTGAGGGGCTATTTGCAGGCTGACCAGCCTGAGTGAGGGGCTGATGGCTGTTTGCAGGCTGGCCATGCCCCTGGTGATCCAGGTTCCCAGCCCCTTCTCCTTTTTTTTTTTTTTTTTTTTCCTAGCCCTTTCTTGAGTGGAGGCCAGGGTAGGTGGGAAGCTTGGCTTCCTTCATCACCAAGGGCAACCCAAGCTTCCTGCTCACTCCAGCTCCATGGTCGCTGCCATCTTGGTTGGGTTAATTTGCATACGGACTCCTGATTGGATGGTGGGCATAGCAAAGGGATGGTCAATTTGCACGTTTCTCTTTTTTTAATATATATATAGCTATTCTTTAAAAAATGAAAATGTGTCTTCCTCAACATCACAATTGTCTCATGAAGACAAATAGGATGGCTGTTCTTAGAATGTCTCTGAAGAAAGATGTTATAAAAGATCATTTACCGTTTTCTGGTTAGGATTAGGAAATTCAAGCCCCCAATGAAAGTCTCCACTTAATTATTTCTTCCTCTGCAAAATATTATAAGTAAAGTAGAAAAGCTAGTCAGGTTATTAAAGAATCTGACTTTCTCATGTCTTACCTCAAGTAAGCCTCAAAGAAGTCATCCTTACTCAAAAGAGATAGTGATGAGATCTGAATTATATCATTTGTACCATGGCTTTAAAGATACAGGATTATTTGTTAAATATAGATTAAATGACTGGAAAACTCCTTAACTAAAGATATTTATTGAAATAGAACTAATTTGGTGTCTAGATTGGTATGGGCACAGAACTACTTGGAGAACTGATAGATTAAATGATTCTTGCCAAGCTTTATTATATCTATCTGGGTCCTGCTATCTAGTGCCTTTGCAGATATATTTTTCACATGACCCATTTGTTAGAATGAATGATAAGGGGTTTGAGAGTTAAGAGGAAGTGGTAACAGTTATAGAAACTTCAAATGCATCTAAGCTATATAGCAAACCACACAGATAGGAAGCCATCTGGCCTCATGTCCTATTTGGTTGGCTGAGAGTACCAGACTAAGCAAAATTTACATTCAACTTCTTACCAGACTAAGCAAAATTTATGTTCAACTTCTAAACATCTCCTTTACTGCATTTGACTATATGATGTCATAAGCAGGTGTTAATATAGCAGTGTTCATGGTTGCCTGGGCAATTTGACAAAGTAAACTTGAGGTTTTAGCCTTTAAGAAAGAATGTTCGGGTGCTAAAACTTTTTGTTAAGGATGAGCTATTTTGAAATTCCAGTAGGTCTAAATATTTTTAAATGTAAGAGAAAAGCCAGAGTTCAATAAGGTGCAATTGAGAAGTAAAGATGTTTTCTTCTCACAGTAAATATAGGTGGTTATACTTGTTCAAAAAGAAATGATGCCTTTGGGACTAATGTTTTAGCCACAAGGAAGCCATTTGCAAGTAAAACATTTTCCTTTAAAAAACCATAAATATATAAATATGTGATACCTTAATCAATAAAGAAATTTTAAAAAGAAGTTACTCAGGCAGCTGGAGGTTTGAAAAAAAATAAAAAATAAATAAAAAACCATAAATACTATTACTTAAACTCTTGATTCTGAGTAACTCATAGTTTAAAAAAAAAAATAATAATAATAAAAGTTACACTCAAAGAGCAGGGCTTTTCTACCAGTGAGGTATATATGCCTAAAAGAATATGCTGTATACTGAAAACTATATTCTAAAATAGGAATTTTTCAATTTGTTGGCCAATTTTTCTTTAGAATAAGCATATTATCCTCCAAAGGTGATACTATGGTAAAAACAATTATTTGCCAGCCACATAAACTTCTTTTTCATGACCAGTAGAGGGAGAAAGAGTGCTTTTTTCCTAGTTTAGTAAGAAAAGTTCAGAGATTCTCCTAACTGGGCTAGCTTAGGTCATTTACCAGCAAGTGATTTTTTTTTTTTTCTGGGGGAATGGACTATACAGCATGGCTTAAACCAAA